CACCCGTCTTCTGCTAACGTTCACAGATAATTTCTACTTACGCCTACCCTACCACTCCTCACGACTTTGTTGCCAGGCCTCGGCACCGCGCATCCGCGCCCCTCTACCGGCACTATAGCATTGAGTGCGTCGCGGTGTGCCTCCAAGGCCGACCGCTCGCGCGCTGTGCTCGCCACTCCCGCCTACGACGATACGAGGGACGAGGGATTGGATCTCATTACCACCCGCACCCTCACAACTACCTGTTACGATATTCTTCCGGACATACTTTACATGTTTTGACCCTTCCACTCTCGGACTCACAATCCGACGAATCTACGATGCACGGACCCTCTACCTCTCTGTACTTCATGCTCCATGCCACACCCCATTCTCGTAGCAGCGCATGCGTTGCCCCATGTACGCTCTGTGCGGGCTGGAGCACGAGGACGGTCTAGACAGTCTTCAACGGGATGAGGCCTCCGGCATCGTAAGCACATCCGCATGCCCCTGATCTTCCTACGGCCTCTATCTTAAGCTTTGTAACCACATGTTTTTCGTACGGTACCGCTCGATGCTGCCAAGAGGGCAGGCGAGCTTCCTCGGTCTCTTATAACATGTACTGCGAAATGAGCGGCTCCTTTTCTCTTCCCTTTACGCCCGAGTCCAGCCCCCAGGTTTTCCAACGAGCCCGCTGAGTACTGATCTTCTCGAGCAACACTCTCCAAACTTCTGGACCGTATCTTCGCGCGTCCCCCGTCCTTCGACGCGGAGCTGCTCGCCCGATCGACCTCTCCGGCCTTCCTACTCTAGCGAGGACCCGTCCTCGCAGCCTAGGGTCTCATTTGATTCACACAGTGAGCCAGAATCTTACTGTACGAGCGCTTACATTCTCGAAGGTTCAATGGTACGCCTACCGAGCTACGAGCTATCCAAGGCCGACTTGAACGCGCTGGCCGCCCTACGCTCTGAGGACCAACTACACATCCCCGTTGGGCTCAGACTGGATAATGCGCCTCACTAGCACCCATTTCGAATGCATATGTGCGCCGACTGACCGCCTCACATAGCGTCACGGAGGTGTACGGGGTGCGAAGAGTCGAACCTTGGCGCCTTCGTGCTTCCGATAACGTGTCTGCGCAGAACGCAACTTGACTTGCGCCATCATCGTCACAGCGATGGGGCGCAAGATCTCAGCCTTACCCCCTCTTTTTCGACTGCTCTCAGCCCCTTCTGCCGTTCTGCTGCAATGTGCCTTGCTCTCGCCGTGACAAAATGGGTCGTAAATGGCATTGCCGCCACCGCACTGACCACCGCCATTGTTCCATACGCAGGAGCGACGCCCTTCCTTCGTACGTCTCATGTATACGCATACACGACCCCGCTTACCCCGTAACTAGGCCGTCTTGATTGCCATGCGAGCAAGCATCCCGGGTTGGCGCGTAACCCCGTTCAGTGATACGATGCGCGCACCGACCTCGGGTTACGCGAAGCTATACCGGCCGTGTATACCCATGTACAGGCGGTAGCCTGGATTATGACTACAGCAGTCGGTCATGGCCGACCAGCATGCGCTCTTATCGCGTTCGGCCCCGCCCGAATATGCTGAATGTTGATCGTTTCCTACCGCGGCGGCGTGACACGGTGCGTGCACCAATAGCATCTTGAAATTCACACTAACTTTCAGTCAGGATACTAGGATACTAGCACTCGGGAGTATGACGAAAGCAGAAGCGCGTGTCTAAGATTCGTTTTGTAGGAATTGCTGGGGCGCATAAGGCATGTGCCGAATATCTTCGCGTAGTGGCCGAAACTATACTTGTGTCAATATAACTGTACTCTAATTCTCTCAGTCGGATCCATGCGACTGTAGACGGCGGCTCTCTTTGCATGCGCCCTAAGCAGTAATACTGCGAGTATTATCGCCGCCCAGCCGAGGCCCGTTGTCGCAGACGTCCAGGCACTCTCTATCTGAGCGGTCCTAAGCCGAATTGGCATTGACAGCTCAGTTAGTTTATGTCCCCCGCTCTCAATCGGCTCATGAGGTCTGGTCCTCTTCGACAACGCGGGTGAATCATCAGAGAAAGAGTGTACTGTGGTATCTCTCACCTTGACTTGCTCGCACGTATGCTGTTCCGGCGCAAACGACTCGGAAGCCTCCTGATGGGCATCTTCCACGTTACGAACAACCAAGCGCTCTAAAAGCCCACTTAGAACCCATGGAGATGTGAAGTTCATGTACCAACGAACCATCGAAAGGAGCAGAATCGTTCTTCTGTTGCATGGGAGGGGCGATACCCCTGGCTGGAGGCGAGGATGTGTCGTAGGTTGACTGGACGGTTGTCGTCTTTCTGTTTATGACGTCATTCACACGTTATACGGCGAGTCTGTCTTGATACGGACCTCAAAGTCTGGCCAATACTTGCCTCTCGGAAATGGCGTATGGCCGTACGAGCGCGTCCCAACATATCGCGCCTGATTTCACTGATACGTTCTTGGAGCTCGCCTATCTTTGCCTGCTGCGCTAGGGTAGCTCGAGCGCTGTCGCGCTCCTTTCGAAGCTCATCTGCCAAGATCTCCAGATCGGAGACCTGACTCTCCAGATCTTGCACCATTGCTTCAAGATCCGAATCATCTAATGTTGGCCATGTTAGCTCACGAGCCGCAGCCAGTTTCATGCGAAGCACGCCACCTTCTGTCCCGCCTATCGACTCGAAAACGTCTAGAGAAGTGCCGAGAAAGTCCTATGTCAGTTGTGCTTGCAACGTGAGCAGCACCGACCCACCGGATTGCCCGTTATCTTGTACCGCTTCAAATTCGTCAGGATCCCACAAACCTACCCGGACTCCAGCAAACACGCTCTCCGAAGAATCGCCCTATGCGGTAGTTGAGCACTTGGATGCTATATGATTGTTCGGACTCACCACTTCTGCGGCGATTGACTGATGAACTTCGTCTTCGTGCGACACCCTCGCATCAAGCTCTGCTTCTAGATCCTGAACTCGCTGAAGTGCCTCCGCCGCATCGGTGTGTGCGGTCTCGAGGTCTGCGCGTGTTCGCTCGAGTTCGTCTCTCAATGTAGCGACCTCGGTTTGGACGGGCTGTAACTCATCAACGGCGGCCTGCAACGCGACTCTCGAAGTCCTCAACGTGTCGCGCTCCGAAACAGCCAACCTCAACTCGTTCTCTTTGATTGTCACTTGTTGTCTGAGCTCGTCAATGGTATCCGTTCGCGACTTGTTGTTGCGGCGTTCGATATCAAGTTGTTCTGGGGTAGGCGCCCTATATGAGCCCTTCATCCAACTAGTCTGAGCACCTATTACCTGAGAGCTCGCGTACACGGTCGGCTAGACGTTGCTGCTCTGACCGTGCGGTTCGAATCGCATCATTTGCGCTCTCGGTCGTCTTGTTGGCCTCTTCTAAGCGACTCTGGCGGTTTGAGAGTTCTTCTGCGTTAGGCATCAGACCTACAATTCTGCACGACCAACATCAATCTGCTTTCAACCGACTTTCTAGCAAGCGCATATCTGCGCGCAAACTTTCTGCGTCGGACTGGGCAGTATCGAGGTCGTGCTCCATCCGCGTCAAGGAGTCGGAGTCATGAGCTGCAGGTGTGCGTATATTAGGCTGAAGTATAAGTATATGAGTTTTGGGTCCATTGACGGTGAGTGCGAAATGGGAACCAGACGCACGTTCGACGTGATTGATGTTGCCGGCGTAGGTGTCATGGGTACAAACTGAGAGAGCTTAGTGTAGCTGCCATGACGGGTACTGGTGTCATCCTTGTTGTCGTCGTTTTCGCTGCCGAGGGACGACGACGGGAAATGAGCGGTGAGATTGCCAGGAGAAACTGTACTTGGCGTGGCGTCTGAACGGATTTCGGGTTCGAGTGATCTCCCCGGACTAATCCAGACAGATGACGTATAGCTTGTGCTGGTGGTCGATACGGATGGCGAAGTTGCTTCGTAGCCTGGGCGAGTGAGTAGCCGATTAGAAAAGCTCCTCATCGGTATTTCGTGAGGCGGATAGTCATCTGTTTTGCGGGGTGAGCGACTCATCGTCGTCTGTTGGAGGAGAACTGAGCGCAGAGCGACGAACGAGTCGTCTCTGAGTTATGGACACTCGCCGGATCATGCTCGGGCTGAATCATGCTCGGGCTGTTCAACTTCAGTTCGTCCCGGCGGTAGCAGGTCTATTCACCGAAGATCTAACATTGGCTGCGCCACACGTGTATACACCAGGATTGATGGATTAGACTGTACTACCGGACACTCCCTTCATCGCATCTATGCGATCCATCAGCTCGCGGCGCAGTCTACCCGCCGATCTACGCTCCCAGATCGGAGCATGAACAATAGTCGATTGCGCCTGCAGATAGGTCAAGGTGAGGCCTCGACGTCGATTAGAGGGGTGTAAGCTTACGACTTCTCGGATACAAACGACTGGGCTCTCGATGAAAATTCTAGCAAATGAGAGCAGGTATACACCGCAATCCTCGTGATTCGGCTGGCGCGGTACCTGCATACGAGAATCTCAGCAACTCTTCATACCAGAACCGGCAGAGACATACCCTCACGGCGTGATAGAGCGAAGGAGGCAGAGGATAGCATTCACGAAGACGGGCGATGTTATCCGCGTACTTCCCAGTTATGCCTGAGCCCCAAGCACTGTGCAAGAAGTTCCAGATGCGCGTGGCCGTCGTCCTATGATCGACAATGGGGCGACTATCTGTTGACAATGAGTCCATGGTATAGATGCGGACTTGCGGCTTGATGCACACGACTGCGAGGTACCAATGTTGACTAGTGTAGCATTAGGCGCTTGAAGAGATTAGAGACCGAGAAGCACGTACTCCTCGTTGATCGGCATGACCAGGTAAGCTTTGTCGAAGAGATTGGAGGGGAACCAGGTTCGTATAGATGGGTAACTGTGTGCGCTTAGTATTGTTGTTTAAGACTGCGCATGATCAGCGTGTGCTCACCCCATCTGGCACAGGCGCGTGAAGAAGAACGAAGAAAAGATGTACACCCGCGAGGCCTTCTTCGCGTCGACGTCACTCCACCACATCCTGAGATAAGTTAGATCGAACACATGCTGAGAAACGTCCTCCGAGTAATACCTGAGGACCAAATTTATAAGCGCGCTATTGAGCCAACGCCCAGGTTGTAAACGTGATACATCTGCTTCAGTCAAGCGAAGCGTAGCAGTGGATTTGAGCGGTAGGTGACGTTCCCCGCGATAGCAGATAATCGGCGTCATTGTAGGGGAGGAGCTTGGGCTGACCGTCAGGTACCATCGCCGGAGACGACTCTGAAAACGTACGAGAGCTGTCCCCGTATGATTTCATCCGACTTGTATTCAGGACGGTCCTGCACGAGATGTTCCTTGTTTCGCAATCGCGTGACCGATACTTTCAGGGTACTCGGCCGGGGGTTCAGTGGGTGCACGGCCCCGGAGAACGCTTGAAACGTTGAGGATATTTCGTTCAGAAGATTGTCATCTTGGGCGGACAACGGGAGTAATCTTCGCAAGGAAAAGGTGCTGATCAGCAATAGCCATATGTATAAAAAAAGCGACCAGCAGTACAGATCTTCCATGGTCAGATGAGTGTGGTTGGATGTTGAGGTAATAGAGCGGCGTGTCGGAGCGTGCGACTGGAGGGACTGGCGAGCGAGGAGCGACGGGTGATGAAGGGCCAGAGCGGCGCATCCGTCAATTTGTAGATGCCATTAGCAGCATACATAATCTTCAGTTGAGTTACAGCACTGGGATGCCGTAGCTGAACACAGGCGTTCAGAGGGTTTACGGGAACGCCGGACAAGAGAGCGGAGCCTTATGAGCGAATTGATCGGGTCGAAGGACAGCAGATAGCGGCGCACCAGACAGCGCGCGGGGCTGCCTCGACATGCTGCAGGGATGGAGACAGGGCCTGTTGATAAATCTGGCGCGCTATAGGTGGAAGGTGGAGGTAAGCTCAGTTCTCAAGACAAAATGCTGCGGCGAGATCGCATCACGCGTGCTCGGCTCCGGCCCGAGTGGCCCATGATAAATCGGAACTTTTCCTCACCTGTTCTTACTGACCACCAACTACAACGCTGCGAGTTCTGCCGAAGGCGAAGGAGTTCTATTGAGGGAGATCCCGTGCGTGGTTATGATTCGAACGATGATTCTGCTCTCATAGCTGGGCAGACATGTCCTTCGCCGCAGTTTGTCGCAGCTTGTTATCGGGCCTGGCGTACCTCGTGCAATCCGCCTGCCGCAATGTAACCAGCATCTTCGCCGGTAGCACCCTCGCAATCGCTATCTCTCGCATATACCGGGCTACTTTGCGCTCTCGTTTTAGTGCCGTCACGCTTGTGCTCGTGGGCGGTATTATCTGGATCGCCTGTAGCAATAAGGCCGTGAGCGTGTCTCTACATGGCCGTTCCCCGATCTCCATCCTTGTCGTCAGCCCCTTCAGCATTTCAACGTTCCCCATGCCTACTATCCTCCAACTAGAGGAAATGCGTGCTCAGATCGTCAGTCTCAATGCGACACTTGCCCGCCTTCAACAGGCCCAGAGCAACCGCGATCTCGATAGCGTGGGCAAGGCAGACTTTGCCCTCTATTCCGCAGGCGCGAAGATCATCTCGTCCTACACCTCGCAGACCCTCCGCTCTGCACTTCCCCAATCGGACCTATGGCCGACTGGCCCTACCATGGCGCTGCATCACGAGACACATGCCGGGTACTGCTGGCCGTTCAGCGGACAGCAAGGGCGTATTGGCATAGAGCTTACCCACCGCATCTTGCTCGAAAGTGTGACGATAGAGCATCTCCCTGGGGCCCTCTCGCTCGATCGCACCTCAGCTCCAAAGCATATGTCCGTTTGGGGCTTGGTTGAGGGCACCGATAACCTTCACCGCGCCATCACTTGGCAGGAGCGCGGGAGGGTACTAGGTCGGCGCAAGCACTTCGCTCTCGAGCTCGGCGACCACCCACCCGATGTACAACGCTTGCTGAAGGCGTCGCGGTGGGCTCCCATCGCCAGTTTTGTATACGACATCAATGCTCCCAGCGCTGTACAGTCATTCACTGTTGATGACGATGTGCCTGCTCTGGACGTAGACTTCAAGACGGTACTGCTGCTCATCCATGACAACTGGGGGAATGAAGACACCACTTGCTTGTACCGAGTTCGCGTTCACGGCCGGCCGGCGGCGATGAGAGACTGACAGTACTTCAGACGGGTGAGTGCAGTCGGAGTACGGTTACCATTGCATACTGACATCTTCGACAGGTTGTGCCAATCATATGGGTACCTGAATCCGCGCCGTGATTGCTTCCAGTCTTGTAAACCCGTTGTAGCCTCCTTTCAGGACACTTGCTTGATGTTGTAGATCACGTTCCGAGCAGCTATCTCTCTCTCGTGTAAGATATCAAGAAGCAATCAAGTACATGTCTGACAATACATTCCGTTTGATAAATAGTTGAAGAGCCCGCGGGCTCGATATCGGTGTACATTCTTTCAAAGCGAGCGTCATGTCTGCGCGTCATGCTTCCACCTCCACCCGACCAACATTCGCTGCGTCGATCAACGTCTGGAGTTCGCGGATTTCATCATCTTCCATCCACTCCTCGGGATTGACCAAAACCACGACTAAAGAAGGGTATCCACAAGAACTGTGACGTCTGGCGAGAGCGTCGACTAGCTCATCGCGATCGTCAGCATCCAAGAAGGCCAGGGGCCCCAAGACCACCCTGCGCAGACTCGGTACAACGTTCATATCGGCGAGGAGGGCGGCGGCGAGTCCACGAACAATTGAAGAGTCGTTCGAGATCGAGCTGTATCCGAGGTGTAGCTCCACGAGCTGCGGTACGAGCAGCAGAATAGGACGCCACATTTGCGGCAGGTCAAGGGCTGCATAGTTGGTAACAAGCTTTCGGACCGTCCTGCGCAGCGACGACCACGCCAAGATATGCTCCATGACACGACGGATGATATCGTCATGAAGAGTAACGGTTTCACGTTCGCCATTCACCGCCATAGAGTCAGGAGCGCATAGAGCGATGGTGAAAGTGAACGCGTCGGGTATGTGACTTTGATGCTCCAAGTGGTCGCTGGGAAGGTCGGGTGTCGTTGAACCATGAACCAGGACTGCGTTGGTTCCTGGACCGAACGCCATCAGGTCTATGAGAGCGAGAGAATAGATCCCACTCCCACGACTCGGTAGGTGGAAGCGGGAGCAGTGCACTCCTACAGAGATGTCAAGCGCATGGACTACGTCTTCTATAACGCGCGGATCATGCAGATGATCACCGGACATGCTGTGGACATCGAGGACGCGGATGTGGCAGTGAGCTGGCAAGGATAACTGTTGTAAGATGGCGCCGAATGAGCCTGCTGGGCACTCCAAGACAACATGTCTCAGATGAGGTAGCGGGACGGCCGACTGATGCCTCGTAGCGGAGAGAAAGCGACCTCCCTCGAGCGCATAGCTCAAAGACGGACGCCAATCGAAGTGCGCCAGCGTCGGTAGGTCTTGTAGGGTATCCAGCATGTCGTCTAATGACGTCCAGATCTCGCAACGAACAAGGATCAGGCGTGTGAGGCGAGCTCGGAAGACGGGACATGCAGGATATAGTCTGCAGTTCACCGCTGTGAATGCTCGAAGTACTGGAGGGGGAACACTTGCGAAGACGTGCTCTGGAAGGCGGGTCTCGTGCCCCTGACCAATGATGGCTAAGGTTGCTAGTCGTGACATGACAACGTTGCCTAGGGATGAAGTAACCTGGGCCAATGCATCCCATGTGAGGTCGTTGAGGACGAGAAGATGGAAGCGCGGAGCGTGAGCCAGGATGAGTTGAGCAGAGTCTAGAAGATGATGACCGTACATCGACCTGGAGAAATGGCGGTGGTCGAGCTCGATCGATAGGTCGCAATTGCGGGACCGTTGGAGCGCCTGCCTAGTCCAGTCATCGCCAAAGCCTTGAATCATGCGCGACCATACGACCGGTAGGCCGAGGACAGAGTGGCTCCAGTACTTGCAGACCATACGAAGGGGCAGGTGGCTGGACGCATCCCAGGTCTGCGCAACGTATGTGATCTTGAGGGAACCGGCGTCTCGACCGATCGACGGCCGATTTGTGAACCCGAAGATTCTCTCGAGTATTTCGAGCGGCAGGCCGTTGATCAAGCAGATCATCGGGGGTAAAATACCCAGGACGATGCGGCCATACAACTTCCAGATATTCCAGCGGAGTTCGTGATGGTAGGTTTCGGGAAAGTCATGGTAATCAGGGGAGGAAGGTGAGATATCCCCGTCAAGTAATCGAGCACGCAAGCTCGACAAGTTGCGGTCGCGCTCGACGAGAAGAGCGCTAAATATATTCTGTGAAGATCCATCAGTACATTCTCCGAGCGTATTATACGTGAGCCAATCCGCGTACCGCCAGAAGTCCGCGAAGTTCTGAGTCACAGCTTCCTTCTCCTTGGGCGTCGGTGAGGGCGGTGCTCGGGGTACCCCGCAACTCTGACAGGCAGCTCCGCAGACGCGAGATCGCCCCAGCGTGGTTCGTAAGATATTGGCCACCGCTCACAGCAAGGCCGTCTTGAAGCTCCTGTGGAGACATAGTCTCGCCGGAGAGGGGTTGAGCGACGTCAAAGAGTATCTGCTGTGATGGTAATTCACAACCGCGACCGTCTATGAAACACCACTTGCCGCAAGTACCTCAGCCACCACGGGATGCCCCATTTCCTCCCCAATACGATTCACGAAGGGTATGCGAGGTTCCATCATACAAGTGCAGTCTACTGCAGCTTGGTGGAGAATGGCGTGGACCACGCGCGGCGACCTTGAAAAGACTGCATTTGGCCGGCGATTGCCGGCGGCTTACTCGTTGGAAACCTGTCAACGCATAGGGTGACTGGGCCTGATGAGAGGGCCTCGTTGAGAAAGTACAACTTTGTATCTCTTGAGAAAACGTTTCGTTACAGACAATTGACAGACAGGGCTACATCGTGAATCGTCGCTAACTGGTTACAGGACAAGTCGCGTGTACTGGAACATCCTTCGTGCGTATCCGACCATCTCATGTTACAGCGGCCTGCGGCAGGCTAAGACGCAAAGCGGTTGTCTGCCGAACAGCACCCGCAGTGCGAGTGAGCTACCTAGGAACCAGGGTCAGCCGGATGTGTGAATGAATGCCGCATGAGACGCACCGGGGACCCCACCCTAGAGCACAGCAGTACAGCGCCGTCATGCTTGCACGTAGTTGCGTGGATACCTTGAATATCGCAAGTTCGGCTTCATTTGCTACAATAAAGGGATGTCAATACCCCGCGTACACAATAATCGTGGGGTGCGTACATGTCGCGGCCTTCAACGGCCTTCATAAGGTTGAGAAGAGTCGAGGGATCATTTGATTACGCGCTGTTCTGTCGCTGTACTGGTTGAGCGAGATCGATGGTCTACGAGGCTGAGTGTAGCTAGATGGTGGCTGAGAGAAAGCCCAGGCCTACATGACTTACGACGCACGGGCGACGACCCGTGCGTTTCGCCACGTTGCGGCCACCCTCCACGCGCCTTAGTGCCTCAGTGCAGTACGTAGGAACAGGCGACAGAACTATTTCATCAGGACGTTTCTTCTAAGTACAACATGAGACTATACATGTACGCGAATCTTTGCGCAATACAATACATGTGCTCAGTCAGCGAGGGGGAACAGGATGAACGAGCTCGGCACAACTTGTGCGCGCAAGAGGTTCGTCACCTCGACTCCACGGGAAGTACGCGTCGTGCGGCGCAAACCGAGTCCAACGCAGCACTCCACGAGCTCATTCACACGCGCGGCGGCTGCAGGAGTGGTGAAATACAATTGCATGACCCTCTCATCTGCCAGAGTACCTCGCAACGGCATGAAAGGCTGGAGCTCGGACGAGACGACACGCTGAGCGGCCTCACGCTTAAAGCGCAACACCTCCTTGATCAGAAACATGCAGGCGTCGCGCGCGGCATCTTGAGAAGCGGAAATCGCCTCTGCGCTTAACCCGAAGACGTGCCAGACAGGGAGCAAGAAGGAGTGCAAGTCCTTCAGCATGGCATCCTGTCCAGCCGGCCCGAGGGGCGCCATAAGGCGAGACGCGTGGCGATGAGTGAGAGCCCTCCAGTTTCCCGAAATGGCTTGCTCCTCTGGATGCCGCGTAAGTATACGTAGCCCGTGATCAAGCATGAGAGTCAGGGCGAACCTTCATCTAACATCGAAGCACTAAGGTCCTTCATGAACGCCTCAATCGCGACCCCAGCTGCTTTGCCCTGCGACGTGACATGCCAAGGCTGCATGTAGTCGTGACAGACGCTCACAAACGCGGCCTGAATGATGCTCAGACGGAGCGTATCCTTCGCGTCGTTGAGAGCGGGATCGGGGTTGCCCAGGAAGCGAAAAGAGCCGAAGTTAGATTTGAAAGTAGCACAGAGAGCGCAATCGTCATGGAACGACGAGCGCGCGGCGAGCGAGGGAGAGACTTCATCAAAGAGGAGACTCGCGACCTGCAGGATATCGTAGTTGATGGTCTCAACGATGTCGATTATGGCCTTTTCCGTGGACGTATCGCGGATCTCGAGGAACGCCCTGGCGGCATAGACCTCGTCTTGCAAGTGACCCATGTAGGTGGTCTGCTGCTGTATGGTCTGGCGAGCGCGATCCTAACGAATGATTAGGAAGACGTTGCATAGATGAAAGCCCGAGTCGGGCGCACCAGTTCTTCTTCGAGATGGGCGGGTTGTGAGGCAGAGGATACCATGGCTGGGGTCACAGGTGATGGTTCAATGCAAAAGGACTGGTGGCAGGGTGAGCCGGGCGCGCAAGACCTTATAACATAGAGCATCCCTTTGACGCGCTTGAAGCCTTGAGGCGACAGTCCTTTGTTCAAGTTCAACCACGAGGCCGTGCATGCGTCATTAGCTTCTCTGTCAGAATGTCGCTCTCCCGGCAGTCTAACGGACTCCCCTATCCACCCGGGCTAGTCGTATTCGTGATAAGCGACGGACAGCGCGAGCATACATGGGCAATTGAATAAATATGACATTTCATTTTCACGTACTGTCGGTACTCTATAGTCGATACAAAGCGTACAGAAGAAGGGAATTAAGTTAAGAGACCCCTTGTGGCTGGGCATCGGGCATCTAAGCCGCTGTCAATGAAGGGGCTTCCACAAAGGAATCAAGAGCAACGCACAGTTCCGTTCATTCCAGCACAGATAGCATCAGGAACCACCCGCTCACTCCCCTCCGCCCAGGTTCTCAGGAGTAGACGGAGCAACCTTGTACGGTATGGACGGCCGGACCGTGAACGCCATCACGATGAACATCAAGGCACTGAACACAGTCGTGAGGTTAGTATGCACGCGATTGAGCATAGGTGGACAGTATCGACTGACAATAAGAAGAGTGCTGAGTGCGAGGGGGTCGTGGACGTTGTAGACAAGGCGGAGAAGCGCGTCCACGGCGCTTGCAGAGCCGTGGGTACATCGCCAGGCGCGACAGCCCGCGTGAGATCCAGGAGGATGCCCAAGACCACGAGCACCAATAGTGTCGCGAACGATGATCGGAGCCAGCGTGCTACGTAGGTAGCATTATAGGTCAGTACTCTAGCTTGTTCTCAGTAGGAATATGCCCTGACCAAGCGGCGTGGCGTCGAAACACATGCTTAGCTCCAGGACTTCAGAGCGCAGGTGTAGTTCAAACATGCCGGTCTACGTTCAGTTCGGGAGAATCAGGGAATAGTACTCAAGGACGGTAGGGTTTCGAGGGTTATGAGGTAGCTTGCCTCGGCGATGGCGTTCTGGATGCCATAGGGCGTATACGAAAGGGGTACGCATAGCACGGTGAGCAGTGGTAAGCATCTTCAGCATCACCGACTGATGCAGACGATCCAGGTTCGCGCCCGGGTTCTACGCTTTCAAATGTCATATGTTTCTCGCCCACACAGACTGTCGCACTGAGTGAATGCGTGCGTCACCTTCTGATGGACGTCGGTGATTGGCGATTACTCGACTCGACTGGCATCGAAGACCGGCACACTATCGCAGGTCCTTTGCGCGAAAATTCGACCTTCTCGGTAAGGGCAAAGCCCGGCGTTGCTCGTACGTTGCACTTCCGTCTCCGAGGCGTAGAACGGCACTTATGCGATTTTCTGACTGAACAGAACTGTGGTCCTGATGCACGAGGCTTAGTTCAGGGAGTTCTTCCGGTGGTGCAGACGCATGTTGCTCCATGAGGCCCGGGGTAAGGTCTGCGGATGCGACTTACGGCCCGTTTTTTGCGCCTCGTTTCCCTGTCTACCGCCGAGATGAAGAACTCTGACGTTGAGGCCCGGACAGATGCATCCTCAGCGATGCTAATGACCTCGGCGTCGGAAATCGCTGTGCCTGCTCGAACCTGTGGGCATAAAAGAGTGGCATACAGACATCAATATCGACAAGATACCGCCGCGCATCACTCAGTACATTCCTCTACAACGCTCCAGTCGCTCCAGCTGCCTGCTTCCCTTACCACCGAGCACGTCTATCCACACACCTCTGATTGCTCTGATGCCTGACGGTCGCACGGGAAAGGTACCCTCCGGATCGATCCCTTTACCTATCAAGCTTCTTACTGACTCGCTTCATATGTCTAGCAACCTCTGACTCTGGAGGAGATCTTCGATGGTGGCGTGGAAGCCAAAAACTTCGGAAGGATGTTCGCGCTCTTCGCCAGTCCCGAGGTACTTCCTTCGGGCGATTGGGAACTCGCGTTGGATTTGCTTGTCGCCTGTATGAGATTCGAAGCGAAGACCCGTTTCCAGGTACGTCTGGATGCATATCATCATCGTAAATGTTCTCATCGACGGGCAGGATGGCCCGCACCGCGTACCCTGCAACATTGTTAGCGTCATCACATGGCTCAAACGCCGGGAACGCCCAGCTGTCGTTGATTCGATTAAACGCCTAGAGACCCACTTCGGTGACGAAGTCGCTTGCATGTGGCAGGACGCCCGCGGCCTGCCCGCAGACCTTCTAGTATACATGCACGGCGAAGGCGGTCTTTCTACCGTGGTCCGCACGCTGCTTCAGTGGAGGGCTGTCGATAGCAACGCTGATGACTGGGCCATCATTGTCGGAGACGTCATAGCCGCGTTGGACGTTCTTAGGGAGCGTCGTGCTGGCGCGGACTTCAGTCTGCCTCTCGCCAATCTCTTGCACGAGCGCGACGGCTCTAGCGACGACCGGGTGGTGAACTGTCTCAGCATTCGCGCATCCGATCGTGCGCGGCGCATCCCCGAGGCAGAACCAGAGCCTCATCGCATACTCAGGCGTGGGACGCGGGTTAGAAAGATGCGCTATATGAAGCGAGGCTCGTCATAGCAGCGATACGACGGTGATAGTGTAGCACACGCGCCCACACCTGTACATTCATAATAAAATATTCGGTTTTTTGTCTCTTCGAGTGCTATGCGTGCAGTTTAGACAATGGCCCGTGGGGTCGATGCGTTCCAGTATCTTCACTCAGAGACTTACACCCTTTGGGATCGGTTCTTTTCATTCTGACTGCGGACTTTGCTTACTCAGGCTGTCCCTTGTCCAACGCCAACGATTTGGGTGATGAACGTTGCGGCCGGAAAAACTTGAGATATCTTGTACTGGAAGACCTGTTTGGACGAGGCATGCTCAAAAGTGAGTTACGCGAGCGTACACCAGCCGATTCTTACAGTATGTACGGTGTGAGCGCTGCAGGGCGTGAGGCTCGAACACGGCAGCAGGACTCGAGGAGTTAACGCTCCTATACAGGTGACGAGTGAGGGAAACCTATTCCATGTCATGCGGTCTACTTCACGCATGTACAGCTATGCACTCATCATTGCGCTTTCAAAGACACTATCAGGATGTTCAGTATAGGTGGTACAGAGCGGGCGGCGATTGCAACACATACCGAAATCAGTCCATAAGCCGCCCAGTCATAATGCGACGCACACAGGTGTTCGTGAAGATGTCGAGGCCTCGATCGGCCGATGGGATAGGTGAGGGGCTGTGGCGCTGATGGCGAATGATCTCTGAGAAAGGAGCCTCGAAAGGTATGGCGCCTATCGCGGGCCCTTCTTCGCGTCCAGACGCGTCGCGACCACATGACCGCGTTAGTATGTCGCGGTCAGATGACCCAAACGCGTCGCGAAAGCGCAAGCGCGTCGAAGGCCACCAACTGCCGCCAGGCACTTTCCGCCGACCTGAGCCCGCGTCGAGCGACCCACATCTCGCTCGGAACATAGCCGACCTCAATAGATCTTGGGTGCCTGTTTGCGATGGCACATGAATGGATATTGCACAAAGAAGATCGTGAAGGGGCCAACCGGTTCGAGAATCCCAGAACGTGGAGATAGGGAGACTAGGAAGCGATGGATCCAATTCAAGTGACGATGAAGCTGAGAGGAGTCCTACGCGCGCGACGCGTGCGTCTTTGGAGCGTCGGAAAAGCCCGCTCGGCAGTTCTTCTTCGTGCATCACAACGACGCCTTGAAGACCAGTAGGGCACAAATTGACATTCAAAACACACGGTGGTGATACAGCTAGCAGAGTCTACACTTCTTACTAATAATCAGGCAATCACATTCTCACTAAACGGAGCTGCACGCACGATGTGCGACTAGATCGGAGTACAGGTCTAAAAAGGCATTTGAGCATCACGACGTAAGGACAACGTCAAGCACCGCCATCTCAACTCACTAGATACTCCGGAACAGTATTGACTCACAGGACCGCGCTCAGAGGAAGAGGTATCTGTTGAGTGCGTTAAGTGATGACTGCCTTCGTAGAATTCATAGAACTAATCACTCACCGAATGAAGACCGTCTTCAATTGCACGACGAAGAGTGACACGAGTTGCCGCGAGTACACGGGATGCAACGGCACCGCCGTTGCACGTGTTGCAAGACAGCGCAGACCGCATGCATTCAAATAGAGGCTCCTCGAGAGCCGTGTCGATGCCTGGGCGACGCTCGCTTTGCATGATGGCAATCACAGCGTGCACGTATTCCCACCACCAAGAGTACACATAGAACTCCAAGCCCTTCTCCAATCCCTCAACGCACATCCAGACGACCGTGAGTGCACAAGCACACATAGGCTCGTTGCCCGTTGCGGTCCCGTGGAGCAATTGAGCGTCTATGAGGCGGGGTAGCACCCATGAAACGGGGTGCTCGCGCGAGTTGGTCAGCACAGCGCTCTCCAGCCGGGGCCGGACAGCACAGTGATAGCGGTATAGACGCATGAGGGCGGTAGCGGGGATCTCTTCAAACTCGATCGTGTCCTGAGAATCGGCAATGCTCTTGAAAAAATCCGGTATGTCGAGTGAGCGGCGCGCCGCGGCACGCAGTGGCTCTGCGTAACCGAATCGCCAGGAGACGGCATACGCGAGGGAAGGCGAGACGTCGCTGTAACGAAGGAGTGCCTTAGAAGCCTTCTTATTGAGGTACTCGATGTTGTACTTGTGCGCGAAGGTCGCGGCGCGTTTGATATCCAGCAGCACGGTCAATTCAGGCTCGTCCCAGCTAGAGCGTGGGTAACAGCACTTGAGAAGAAGGCGGAGAGACTGCGCGTCCTCGGACATATCGACTGTGGGTCGAGAAGGGGCCGTGTCATCGTTCTTCTCCGGTGGCATAGAGAGCATATCCCCGAAGACGGAAGATATGAGTCGCAAGATGGTGGTATGGACGGCGAAATCGATTCCATCGCACGAGCGCAGTATCAGATCGGCATCAGGACTGTTGAAGTCGTGATCGAAGACAGGAGAGATGGTGGGTTGCTGGGGATCCATGGCGCGCTTGTCAATCTCTCGCTCTCAGTCGAGCCGTACTGATATACGCATCATAGACACAAAGGACAAAGACTCCTGCTCCCACGCGCGCCGCCGGTCCGGGGCCTCGTGGAAGCCACAATGGACTCTTCATTCCTCGCTATGCTGGTGCCTGACCATGCTCGTACGCACGTGGTAGCGCTTGTTTGCCCTCGTACTTTCTCCGCAAGTCGTAACTCGAATGAAGCCACATACACCACCAAGAGACTGCTTTCTGGACTGGATGTTGCGCCCCTGGATAGGAATCGGAGAGGCAAAGCATGGGTCTCCAGTCCGTCCGTTGTAGGTAGCCGGCGTTCGAGGCATCTGTAGCAGTCGTCGGCGCATACTTCAGGGTAGAACAATTCACTTGCCGCAAAGACCTGATCTCGCCATTCTGCGCAGCGATAGCTGTTCGTCCGATGTCCGAGATGGGGGAAGACCTCGTTTTTCTCAGACGTCGGTTCCGAATCAGAGCTTTCAAGAAGAAAGTCAGCCATATGAGGGTCGTAGGCCATTTGAATGATGGACTGTGAAGAGAACATTGGGGCCGCAGAGCTCGGAAGTAGAGCTGTGTTCGGATCATCCCGATCGATGCCTCCCACGCCTTTCGCATATCAACCATTGTCGATGCATCGTGTTCTTGTACTCGACACCAAATACGTCATTCAGAATGTGCGATACTGCTACGTAGCTACTGATTCTGGTTGAACCTATGAGTCATGCTTCTAAGGCTCTATGCTCGATCTTTGAGAGAAACCTTAAGTCGGCCAGTTACGCTCAAGGTGTCGTGATCTCATCGCTACACGGTGTCGATGCTGCGAGGATAACATCGGCCTCTCACCACGCGCGCAGGATGTACACTAGGCGCGAGCTATGGTGCGAGCTGGACAGATCACGAAGCTCGACAGTAGCTGGAGCACGCTCAAACTCGACCCTACGCTACGCGTGCGCGTCGTCGTATCACGTAGTTTGTGTCCCTTTCCTAGGTCTGCATGTTCAGTCGATGCCGTACCGTCGCCTCTCAGGCAAGCTACAGACGGACAGATAGGCGGTGCTCTATTGTGGTGCCTCAACGCACACTGGCCAGTTACGTGAGTCTACGCTGGCCGACTATTCTGCGTCAGCGCCTCATGACCTCGGTGCTGCGTGGGTGCATGCGCTGAGGTAAGTAAGATTGTTTCGAGATAGCGGCTGCTTTGTCCTCTCTCCTCACTACGACCATGCTGACTGGCTATCGCAGATATCTCCAGGCGAAAACGTATCCTTCGCGAGGGTCCTACCACCACGCTGCTTGGTACCCCCTTACCGGTGGACGCGCCCGCGATGGATCGACTCTGTGTCGTCATGGATGGGAAGCTGAGCTTCGTAAGGACGACACTGTGTATGGCTGTCCCGGCCATGTTCCGACACGGCTCATTCGCAGAGAGGGAGACGATGGCCTCGCATGCGGCTTCTACGCCGAAGTTGGTCGTGGTGAGTGTTCATGCACTTGATATGACCTCCTCGCAAACGATCATCCCACAGTTCCACTCTTACACATGAACGATCGATGGGACGGGCGAACGCATTGGGGCATACGTCCTCCGACTCCTCAAGAACTGGACCAGCGTCGCGATTATCTCACGCGCTCAGGCGATGTCTTCAAAGATCCGTCCGATGCTATCATCGCACGATTGCGTTCTCGAGGTCAGCCAGATACATCCATTGATGATGAACCGCAACAGCATACTGATCCTTCAAGTCAGATCCGCCTACCCTGCCCCCGCGATCTCCTACCTCACCTTCAAGGCAGCGGATCATCGCCATCCTGCGCTCACCCGTACCAGAAGATGAGCCGTCATAGGCCTGGGGTCGTACCTATCCGTACTTATTACACCATATACCTCACTTTCGCGCTCACAGCCATTGTACCTGCTCTATGAGCGCACTCTTGCAGAATATATCAATATGCCCGCGTACTACGGTTGCAATAAAATCTTTCGTGTGACAGACAAAACGCAGTATAGATACAACATGATATCATTCAGTACGTATAACAGCGTTCAGCGCCTCGATGACCCCGCGCTCGCATTGATAGGCTTCCCCGCGTCCTCCTGGCCCTTCGGTTCGGAGAACCTCAACGATTGCCTGTACCGTAACTTTGTAGGCGTAGTGTCCGACTTCTTCGCGGTGTTGGTACGAGACTCTGTGGCGCTCGATGAGGGACCAGCCACCGTGGCACTTGGGGAGGGTCCAGCAATGGTAGCGCTCGTGGTGATGTTGGGCTTGCGAGGAGTACGCCGCCCTTCCCTAGTGAGAGACTCGGGAAGTACCCAGCTCGGAGTCTTGTCTGACACGCGTATTTTCAGCATATACGGGTGTTCAGACGGATCCGGGTGAGGGGCGTGGAGGCTGATAGGTTGCCAGCTCATGTCGTCGTTCAAGATCCACATGCGGTAGGGGTCGTCCGCGTCGTCCTGGTCCTTGCGAGGGATGCAGAATAAACAATGAGGCGGTGCATCCACAAGTCTGGGAGGCGTATCGTGCTCGTAATCTTCAGGCGCGATGATGAAGGACGTGAGGGATGAGCCCAGACCAAACGGACGTTGCTGAATAGGAAGCTTCCGGCCGATCCACGCTGACGCTATTGCGGGACCGCTGCCCGAACATCAGTAGGACGTAGTCGCTTGAAGATCAAGCTTGCGTACGCTTCTGCATTGGCGTCTCCCGCAGCATGAGGGTCGATGCTCTCGCGATTTTGGAGCATAGTCTCGACGTCGGCAATGCCCTTCTCAATTTTCTCTAGGAGCGCACCATTGACTTCGCGCCATGTCCGGTCGCCGAAGGTAAGGGCGCGTAACGCCGTCAACGCCAGTTGCCTGATCAACAGGTTACAGTTCGGTCGAAGCGCGGCAAGAACAAGGTCCACAAGCCAGGCAGACGACCCTGGCCGCGAGCTGTGTATCGTATGAGGGCACTAGAGCACTTGCGAGTCAAAGAGAACGCGCACCTGGATAGATGGTCTGGCGACGTGTATGTGCTGCAAAGTGCGCTTTAGCGTATGTACGTGGGTACGACGAGCAAACGCACAACAATGTAGGTGCTGGAGAAGTGCGGGAACGCTGTGATTGCTCCCGTTCGCTCTCCTCAACCAAGTCGGGACCGGATCCCTGCCGTCCTCTGGCGTTAGATCGAGCAGAATCGAAGGTGACAGACTTGAAGTACTGTGCGGACCAGTCAGCGACCACGATGATTATGAAGTAAAAAAGCGCTAACAGGGTGACCAGGAGCCGCGTGTCTGGTTCCCTGTAGATGGTGAACGGTGTGGCCTCCGCGTTCGGGGGGCATAGTTGCAAGCGAATGGGATGAGTCTTCCGTGATCGCGTTGCGCTTATATCGGCGTCGAGTAGACCAGATCCCCAAACGATGCTCTGACAGTTCATAAGTAATCAGTAGGCAGAGCGCGCTAAGCAAACAGAACGTACGGCAGCAATGCTTTCGAGAGAGATCCCGAGCATAGTCGAGCATCAGTTGGGAGGCCAGGGATGACGGCCAGTCAGGAGCTAATGCGGAACAGCTGCGCGTGGCGCTCGGGCAGGGATCCTTTGCCTGCAGGCGTATTCAAAGTTGATTCAAAGTAGTCATGGATTGCACGATAACGTACATGCTTTCCTGTAGAATGAAGGCGGGTCGTGCTCACCCGGGCACGCCAGCTGATGAGCTGACCTAGCGCAGACGGCATGCGCGGGCTACAGTTACGAGGGAGTGCCCATAGATAGTATCTATGTCGGGTGTCTCTGATTCAGGTAAATGGCCAGGGCTCTGCGTAGATAGTCTCAGAGGTGCCGTCGTCTGATGAAGGTACAAGTTCGCCTCCGAGCGTTGAGGCGGGTCAGTGGGAACTTGGCGGCAACGTCCGTGATGGCGCACTTGCTCACCAGCTCCCACCAAACTGTCGCTTCCCTTGCGTCTCGCCTCCATAGCGGTGCTTCTATATTGGTTCAGCAGCGTGTCCTTCGTCTTCTGCGCTTCCAACGGTGTTGTACTAATGCATGGCACTCTGTCAACCCATACGTCTTCGCAGGCCCGCTGCGGGAATAGACTTGAAGCTTGAAGGATAACTGAGGCAGAGGTTGCGTGCGACGGTCCAGAGGTTAGTCTCTTGGGGCTAATTGAGAGCGTGCACTTGGCTCACTGACGGGAATTACAGGCTCCATAATAATATTGTCTACGTAATTCCTGTATCTTATGCCTGCCAATAAATTGGAGACGATGGCATGATTCGTTGTGCGAGAGGAGCTCTCGCAGCGCGCTTTGCTCTGCGTATACCCCATATGACCCCCTCCACATGGCTCGGGGAAGGTTTGTAACGGCGTACCTGCACTCATACGGACACAATATGCCGCCTTCGTCCTCGAGGCAACGCGGTGCGCCTCGTGCCCCCCTCGCCGGGCGTCAGTCCGGAGATGGTGACTTAGTCGCCACGGCATTTTCTGTCTTTGACGAGATGCTCTCGTATTTTTCAGGTCTTGTCTCGGCCAGCGCAGTGTTATCCAGAACCTTGAAGACCTTCCCGCAAGATGTGGCGGAAATGCAAGCTGTCATACAGTCCGCTGATGTTAAATAGCCACGGATCCGAGCTCACTACAGCCTGTTTTTCCTACATCTCACACCAATGCAACTACGAAGCCGAGCAAAGGATACTGACGGATACCAGTCAGCAGTGAAGGTGCTCTCTTACATGTGAACGCTCGATCTCTCACTCATTCAAGTTCGTAGCACCTTCTTTCGGTATCACCTTCAAATGCACCATCGCTAAATCTCCGTTCCGCTTGCTAACGGGTTAATCACAGGGAATGGTCGTCTGCGGAACATTGTCGAGGGCAGAAGAGCTCGTGAAGGTTCTGCTTCGTCACCCAACAGCAGGCTCGCATGTAGATATGCTGCTTTTGGATTTCTCGCGGGTCGAGCGCATACGCCCCATCCGGGATCTTGTCGAACGCAGTCTGCGAGTCGGCACGATACGCCTGTTCGTCTGCCCTCCAGTCATCGGCCTGCGCGGTCTACTTCCTCGTATCCAGCTGACTAGCTTGACGGTGTTTGAGTCTAATATCGCACACGCTGCTCTCGTCCCGTTCCTGGCTCTGCAGCCTCAATTGCAACTTCTACGGCTCGGACAGTGTCGGTCCGCCGGGCGCTGCCCGCTTTCGCTTGCGGTGGCATCGCTACTTTCGTTAAAGGCCATCACTTGCGAAGATATGGCTTGCTCAGTGCAAGCTATCGCTCTACCGGCCGTCTCAATGGTCGAGGGGCGCATGAACGCCCAAGCATTTTCCAACGTCACTGGTTCCTATCCTCAAATCCGCGTACTGCGATGCCCTGTCTCCTCGACTGACATCTTTGCGATCCGACGCATCTGCGTCACCGCCCCCAACGTGGAGATGTTGACAATCGTCGGGCACACGGGATTCGCTTCAACAAAGGTAGCGTGCTCGTTGGCCGATCATTACTTCTCGCTGACGTGTCACTCGCCCTAGAACCTCACAGCATCTGAACGTTTCTTCGCGAGCAATGCTTGGGCGAGAGATTTGCTCACCCTTACCAAGTTGATGAAGTTGCAGGTGGTGCTGGGGGATGGGCTCGGCCACGCGGCAGGATATGAGTCTGAGGGCGAGCGCGCGGAGCGGTGGGCGGCGCTGTGCTTTTGTAGTTCATCATTGCACAGTCTCAATCTGTGGACACGTTGTGATGATTCCGAGGGCCACCAGTACTCGTGGAAGAGGAGCGGTCTAAGGACATGGTCGAAGATGGAAGAACGCGGCGGGGGCTTTCTAGAAGAATACTCAGTCTTGTGATGTCACGGCTTTACCTTATTGACAGTGTTCGGCTGTGCAGCGCATCGCTTGAATTCATGCTCACCTCATCTCAATCATCGCAGTGAAGTATAAAGGTTGTCTAGATCACCCGCCTGATCCTGACGTCGACCTTTCATTCCCACTAAGCCCACGATCATCCACATGTCTACTTCCTCCGAGCTTGACCGTTGGCCGACGTATGCCAAGCACGAGGTCCTGCCTGTTCCTTCTGATCCCGAGGGCCATGTAGCGTCGGTCACCGCCATTGCGTTCAGTCGCCGTGGAGACTTCATAGCTATCGCCAGTGTTCGCCATACTACTCAGGGAGATAACGGGCTGATCCAGGTCTACGCCATGGACGATGTTCTGTCTATCAAGAGAGCCGTCAATATACCCGCGCATCCAACCGCTCTAGTCTGGTACAAGAGCGTACTCATCATCGGAGATCGTACTGGGGATGTGACTCTGATCGACTGCGATTATCTGGAACCCGAGGTCCGTCCTGCGTCTTATCTCTCGATTAAACACACGTTTTCATTGACTGCGTGTTCAGGCAGAGCACAATCAGGAGAATTGGGCGGGTGGAGAGATACGAGCGCTTGCAGTCGCTGACAACTACGTTGCCTTGGGTACTCCGGCATGGGTCCAGATTGCCAAGTTAAGGGCTCGTTCATGGTATAGAGCAGGCGCTTGGTACGATAGACGAGTCGTGCAGTTCCCCAGCTCAGCGGCATCGGCTTTGAGGGTTGAGCAACATAGCCCTGTCGCTCTGGACTTCACCAGTGATTGTAGCATTCTCGTAGTCACATACGAGCGGGACGGGATCGTGTACGTGCTGCCTCTCGCTCTCAGACTATGCATGGTCTCAGTGAGATACTCTACGATAGGCTGTACGACTCTCAGTCAGGCGTATCCATACATCGTATACCTTCTGCGTCGGAGATGATGTGGGGCACTCGGCTTGTACCCCTGTAATGCTTGGCTTACATCCTTCCAGCGGCTCGTCTGCCCTATCACCACGGGCTTCTGTTCTAGCGGCCACGAACCTGAGTGGCGGTATCGACATGTACACATTGGACGGACAAAACCCCAAACACGACCGTACACTTCCCCTGAAGAGAACGGGCGTCAACCGAGCAATCCCCATTGTCTTCATACACGATGGCGCTGGTATTCTTGTCGGTAGCACACACGGTGTTGCGCGCGTACTCACTTCACGAGGAAACCTCATGCAGTATTTTGCCGTAGATGCCGAGCAAAGTACGTACCAGATAGCCCATGGTATTCCCACTCTGATCTCGCTATCGTCATTGCAGACCTCGTGCAGGAAGTCGTATGTGCCATTCCGACTCGTGCCTACTTAGACATCCCTAACTCGTACATGGATGCCATTGCAGGCATACGCAGTATCAGGTGAACGGCACTATATGGCCTTCGGGACCGCAGATAGCTCCGGCGCCAACGTTGTTGCGATCTATCGCTCTCATGAGACGTCGCTGCGTATCACCGGCCGCAAGATCAAGGAAACCGTCGTGCGTCTCAGTGTTCGACAATCTGTCGTACTCTCTGCTCAAACCCCTACAGATTTCTGCTCTATCTATTATGACTGTGCTCTTTCTGCTCCTGGTGGTCTTCCTAGGAACGCTGTCGCTTTGGAGATGGTATAGTGGAGATGGTGGGCGCGACACCTGGGTGCCCATGATCAGTGTTCAATCACGCGACGGAGGTGTTTTGGCGCAGGATATACCTTCCTTGGACGACTACCTCGTAATGGGTCTGGCGAAGGGCGACCATATACTTGACGAAGCGATGGCGTTTGTTGATGGGTTTGATCCAGATGCGCAATTCGGAGAGAGCGAATCGCAAGGTCCTTGGTCTTCTGCTGTGGCGTCTATGCTCCGAACCGTTAATGTATAGCTATATATCTACAGCTGCTACGCCAGCTACTCTCAATGGAGAGTCTAGAGTAAATAGCGAGACTTATCATGCAGCAGTCTCCGATGTCTACCAGTAAACGCGTAGCTAGTTCTACTGGGTTCTACCAGCTGTACAGGTGGCCGCACAAGTCGGGTACGCCTTGTCTACTGTTCCTGCTAGCAATACTTTTGGAACCTCCATTTCGGGGGTCGTCTTCCCATGCATCACTTCTTGGCCTTATTCTGCGCAGGGGCCGGGTAGAGGGTTGGGATAAAGTGGCGCGTCGACGGCGAGAGGTCACCTGACCGCGTTTCGGGTGCTGCCAGCGTTTGCACGAGATGCTTGCTTGCCGCCTCCATGAGCTGCTCTGCGACCCATCCGTCGCGTCGCCATCCTTTGGTACACTCCATTCACCTATGCTGCCTCTACTAGATGATATATGGTCTCCGAGCTTCTCGGTATTGCGCGGCGTGCAAGATATAAACGTGGAGCCCGGAGTTCCAGCGCTACATTCCTCCAGCATTACCCCAGCTGCTTGAACGCCTTGATCCACGGTGGTACACCGTACCCTTGGCTCGCAGCAGACTCTCTGTCATCGAACTCTGTCATTACTGCGCCGCCCTCCGCTCCACCGATCTGCTGGCACACTTCTTTACAATTTTTATAGCTTCCAGCACCTATACACGTCCGGGAGCGCAACTGGGTGCTCTCGATAGTTACCTGTCGACCTCATCAGAGCGCAAAAAGCTGAGAAACACACGTACTATGAGTGAGGGTCAATTATCTGCTCGGCCAAGATTCATCCGATCACAGGAGCTCAGACATGACCGGCTTGATAGCAGTCGATACGAGGGCGACCGGCAGAAGTATGTCATCTGAAATGGCTCATCTTTGAAGACCGATTGCTGAAACTTGCCTCACAGGCGCTCGTAATTCGCGTTCTCCATAATCCCTATCATCGCAGTGTTGCTTTTCTCCCCCCTCCCCAACATTTTGCCGCGTAGCATGTTGCGCGTTTCCATCTGGTTCTTTCTCTTCCGCATTCGCGACTCGAGTGGCGGATCGGGTTGTTGGCGGTCACGTAAATGCTGGGCCAACGAAAAGACGCAAGATAAGCGGCCATGTCTTGGTCGACCGCGGTGTAAGCTTCCTATACACGCCCAGTCTTCCGCTCACTGACATGACATTTAGGTCTTCATCAGACCCCGCGTTGGCATCAACATCGTAGTGTCGACAGCTCGTTGAACTGAGTTGGGCACGCGATATAACGCCGCAAGCTGCATCTGCGCTGGGCGCGTTCGTTCCACATTGGAAGAATAAATGTCCCGATCGTAGAATAGACCTACTCGATGCTACCGACCCTGATAGTAAGATACACACAGGAAGAGAACCTCGTGAGCTGTCGTAAGAGGAAATTATCCTACAGCGGCTTCAACGCTTCAGCGTGCGCCGTAGCACCTTGCAATGCAGTGTACCGAGCCCTCCTTTCCCGCTTGATCGATGATATATCCGAAGCTCGCCTTCTTCAATGTTAATCCGAAGCTTCCAGTATGGTTCCCGCAGGGTGACTGGACGCGATCCGCGCTTCACCTTGACCTGTTTGTCCAGGTCGGTCGTGACCGTGTGCCGTGTGTGAGAGTGTGAGAACGCCGGACCAGAAGCGATCATTCTTCCATTGCAACTTGCTCCCTACCGTCATTTTGTACAATACCAGACTGTGACGACCACGGGCAGCAGTATGGACTTCCCCTTTACGTCTCGAACCTCTGCTACAAAAACATGCCGTTGTCCCACTTGCGGCCCTGTGGGCTTGCCGATTCCTGTCTCTACCTACCAATCGCATCAACGAGCTGTGCAGTTGGAGGCTCAACGTCTGCTCGCAAAGACTCGGATAACGTCAGGACCACTAGGATCGTCCTCAACTGCTGCGACTGGTGTAATGCCAACTGAGACTATAGGCTCGCGGTCACTCGATACTGCACCCGGCCCAACGTCCTCGAACGTCAACCGAGCGTCATTGTTCTCCGACGAGTTGCGCAATATGATGTCTCCTACGTACTTGGGCGGTCTAGACTTCGTTGGAGATCCATCGAGCGTAGGACCATATGTCATAAAGCGCTCCCTGTCGAACTCCTTGCAGTTAGACGACGTCTACGCCCTCGTACCTGGGTCAGCATGCAATCGTGAACACCGAGCTAGAGAAAATCGCTTGCGCGTGATATCCGCCGAAGTCAATCGCTGGGCGCACAGTCCCGAACAAGAAAATGTACGGCTTGAACTGCAAACTGCGTTCAACTTCCTTGAAGTCCAGAAAGCGTTGGCTTGGTCTTTGCAGAGGAATGCAGCGAATGCCGGGATCGTGTACACGGGTGCGGCGCCAACTATGCATTCTTACCCGTCTTTCACTCATATCCGCACTTAGACGTCTACTATCAGGTTGCAGTCCCATACCGTAACGAACCCTTCTTGTCGGCCTGCTTCATGACGGCGATGATGCTGTCGACATTCGGCTCACTTTCGCAAAAAGACGCAGCATTGCTCCTCACAGGGTTTCGGACGGTTGCCGCGCAGTCCTCTGAAACCCGGCATCTTGTTCATTTGATACCCAAGGACATTCGCGACGTCTTGAGCCATTTCAGCGTGTACGACCCAGTTGTAACGCGATACATTACGTGTCCTTCATGCTTTGAGCATTATCCACGGGATCAGCATACACCGGAGAGCTTGCCACTCTGTCCAAATCGGCAGACTCCATCGAGTGCTATGTGCTCAGGAGTACTCTGGTCTCATCGCGGGGACTCGTCTCACCTGTCGCCTGTAAGGACTTACTTCCCTCGCTCTGCATGCCCTCATATGCAGATATCATTAGGTCCTCATGTCTGTCTTTCACGACTTCCGACAATGGCTCGGACGCCAGTTATCCCGCCAAATCATCGAGGAGTCTGGCGAGAACGCCTTCCGTAACATGAGACGAGATCCCATGCGCAGAGAAGCCGACGGTACACGTTTATCGGAGATAACGGACAAGGACGGGGTGCCATGGTTACCCGGGCCAATATCTGAGCTTCGATTCGTCTTCTCGTGGTCTAACGACGGCTGGAACCCCTACGGCAACAAGCTGTCTGGTGTGACACAAACGTCCACAGGTTTCTGGCTCGTGAACATGGCTCTGCCAATCGAAATTCGCTACCTCGAAGAGAATATGTTCTATTTCGGCGCTGTTCCTGGCAAGCCGAACGGCTCGCGGCTGAATCCAACCCTCGAATTGCTCGTCGATATGTTCGTGAGGTTCTGGGAGCCTGGTGTCTGGTATAGCCGCACTGCTAAACACCCCGCCGGTCGTCTTATACGGGCCATACTCGTCCCGCAGATATCTGACGTTTTAGCGTCTCGTCAAGTAGCCGGGCGCGGGGCTGTCAACTTGAAGAAACACTTCTGTCTATTCTGTCTCCTCGATCGAGACCACATAGAATGCTCCGATCCATCTCTCTTCGTCCCGCGCAACGAGCAACAGCAGCGTCATTTCGCTATGTTGTGGAAGAATGCGGCCTCCGAGGATGAACGCAAGAGTCTGGCGAAGACCAACGACATTCGCTACACACCGTTATATCGGCTCCCATATCATCGCGCCACTTTGGACAACATACCAGAGAGTCTACACCTTTTTTTCGAATTCCTCATCCAGGTCTACGTTCGCCACTGTCTACGGGTGCATCTTGTCGTAGATGGACAAGAGTTGTCGGAGGTTATCAAGGAACCGAAACATCCCAGGCCCTCTCCTGCGTCCGTCAACGCTGCATTGCAGATCCTGCGCTCCGCTCCAGACGGTGTCCTTAGTCCCTCAGCGGAAAGGAAGCTTGAGGCTATGTCCGAAGATGTCCTTTTCCACCTGTGCAAAGACTTCGGTCTGCGTTATGCTGGTTTCAAACGCCAATTAGTCCTCAATTTGGCCGAGTGGGTAAGCGCGGATAGTCTCATCTGAGCAGGCAATTGGGGGCTCATGATCGAACCACGATAGCGACGCACTGTGAGCGCAGACGACGCTCAGTTACAATCAGTCGTAGGGCCTACAGCACCAGCACTTGATCCCACGGGAGAGCAGGAGCCCACAGCGCCTCCCTTTCAGGGAAGCGTAGAGGGCGGTACATACATGGTGGTACGTCTTCCCGAACATCTTATTTGCGTTGCCACTCATCTATATCTCGGCTTCCGTTTGCATCAGGATGATGCGCCGAGCGAAGCAGACACAGCATCGGGCCTATCTGTTTCAACTATGGATTCATATCCGGCTCATGTGGATACTAGTGGTAACCCGGTACGTATCCAGGACGCAAGGCATGTCAGCGCGCTGACTGCGAGGGTTCTCGGGATAGACGCCTGAGGCACCATCTATAGCCGACTTGACACTTCGCCTACAGTCCCTCTCGTACGAGGAAATGACCTCTTTGTGCAGCAGAGATGCGGAGAAAGTCCGCGGCGCGTTGAACCAGAGTCGAAAGACTGCAACTGTCACAAACTACTGCAAAGGAAATAAGTCCATCCTCGTGGCGTTCGTGAAGATCCTCGGAATCACCAGTGCGGTCGATGTGACCGACCCTCGATTATCTATGGCGGCCATGGCAAAGGCACTCAAGAGCTATGTGAGCCTTACACTATGAATCCATTCTATGGGCTGACTGTCTGACTTGCCATGAACACCGACCAGGTGCTGGATACGTCGATGGCCATAACCGACGTTCGTCATTTACTTCAACCGATTATTTCGAGGTCGACAGCGCAACCGGTGCGATCCCATACTGAAGCATGACAAACACTCGGACTAATTGCAGGTTGACTGGCAAATGTTAGTCCAATGCCGCTGCCTCGGGGATATCGCCGGAGCCTGTGGGACCTGGAATAGGTGCGCAGGACTCTTCGTCTACGACACAATCGGGTTTTGATGCAGGTGCTAACGTGTTGAAACTTGAAGATGCTTGGCTCGCAAACCTGACAACGAAGGAGAGGCAGCTCATGCAGTCCCCCCAGGCAGCGGCAGTCAGCGAGCATCTGGTCAAAGGCAACGCACCCGCAACAATTGTCACCGCCGCGCGATCCAATGCCGCGCTCTCCACAGACTTGCTTCAAGCTTATTGCAAGTCGCTCGGCATAGCATCCGAAGGAACAGCCCTAGTCCTTGCTGAGAGGCTTAAGGCATATGCGAGTACTCGTTACTCGTAGGTTTCTATCCGCTGACTATCTTCAGACTGAGCGACACTATGACGCAGCGCCACCGAAAGTTACCAGGCTCACCATCCTCGGTGTACGTATGCGTATATCATATAAGCTCTTGTACTTATCAGTCTTTCAGCCTCGGCGCGAAGCTCTCACCACCACGATCATGTTGAAGATCCGAGAGAACATGCAGCGCACGCAGCTCCCCACCTGCGCCGACAAAGTTCCCCTAGATTGGGGTACCAAGGGTCACGGCCGAGTGACAGGTGGTCAGTGGCTCGTGATAGGAACGGTGCACTTGCCCATCACATTGATACCGCTATGGGGTCATCCATCTGCGCCTCAATACGAGAGAGAGCTTCTGCGCAATCTCATGACGATGGTCTCTGTGGTCTGTATTGGCACTCTCAGGGTCGTAAAGGTAGCGGATACGTACGACTTCGATGCTGCTGTCCGACAATACTTCGAGGGAAAGAAGCGTCTGTTCAAGGATGAAACCATACGCCCTTACGATCATCTTCTTCTGCACTACGGCGATGTACTTCGTGGCTTCGGACCCACTGCTGCTCATGACGGCTCGTTCTATGAACGTCATATCCGTCGTTTGCATAGCTTCAATATCAACATGAAGAGTGGTAAGCAGCAACTTCTTCACTCTCTGCCACGCCTATTGCTTACCTGTCTATCAGGGGAGCTCGAAGGCACGTATATGCGTAGCGCCGGGCGACATGCGAACCTTCGCAGTGTTCTCTTGGACGACACTGCAGCGTCGACACTCTCTCACGTTTCCGGTTTGGTGGAGGAGTTCCGTCGGCAAACATTTGTCGATACCCGCGGTACCAGGCTCGGTAGCTTGATGCTGGAGTCCGTGACGATGTCGACCGCCGAGGGGGCGAAGTTTCTCCGCAAGGACGCTTCGGAGGTCGTCCTGTCGCCGGAAGTCTTAGATCTCCTGCGGCCTTTCCTAGAGGTCTCAAGTCCTACAACGCCGTCGAACCATAAGAACCATGTTCGACTGAAGATCTCGAACCCCGCTTCCGCGTTATCCATCAAGGCTGCATCTTTCGGTGGAGCTCGGTATTGCCCAGCTTCGGAGGTCGAGTGCGACAGCGACATGATCTACTCGCTGGATGATAACGCCCAAGACTCATCACGAGGAGGCCGTCTACCTCTCGACAAAGTTGCTGCCGGCCGCATCATGTTCATGTTTCTCCTCGGAGACTCGTCTATACTCTCACCCCGGACGCTTTTTGGCGAATCGCGCCCCCCTGCTGGTTCGTTGTGGGTTGTCATCCGCCCATACCAGGTGCTTGGTCCCGGAGAAGAACACCTAGATGCCCATTACCGAGCTGAAGAGTTTGGTGGCTTCTGCTGCAAGCCCGAGTTTCAGACCGGGCCTCCCATCTTGCTCAAGATATCACGCATTCTATGTCAAGTGGCAAAATTCCCCACTGAATTTGCTGGTGTACCGTTGCTGCATTTCTTGCCATTGGCCAGGGTACGCCGTGTGCCACGCTCACCTTTCAGAGTCGCTGACACTCGGTTCATAGTTAACGAACGCCATGCCTCGCGCCGATGCTGAGGTCCTTGCGGATGTTCTTACACCGCACGATGAATGATGAGACCAATGAGACAGTCAGTATAGAACCCGCACTTCACACTCCTCTTACGGAAGCTCATGACTGCAAACGTACAGTACACACTTAGGCTGCAATCTACGCCAAGCATTGAGACCGACTTCGATGAGTATTCGCAGGTCCGGAAACTCCGTGTAGTTCAACGGCGTCGTCCTCTTCCGATTATCGGATTATCTGTATGATCATGCCTCAGATGTACTTTTTAGGCAATGCCAGCTCTCATCCATGGCATGTACAGTGCACTTATCTGCGCTTGAACTCGCGCCCGTCCTGTGTTTGCTTTGCATGGTTTCGGCAGCGAAGTTCAGAAGTGCCTTGCACTATGTGACTACGATCGCCCTCGTACCAAGTCTATCTCAGCGCGTATTTCTCACGTTTCCTTTGAGGGTATTCCCTTGTGCAGGTGTCATAACGTGATCAGATGACTTGCGCGCATGATATTGGAAACACACATCGTACACCTGAATTGGTAGTCGGTGCTCTCCTTTCTCACCGGCGTCGCCATTGAAGAAAGGGTTCACGTTTTCTTGCGCATACGAGCGTGAACATGAGTGCTTCCCCGAAACTCGATGCCAAAGCGTCTTCTGGGAAGCGAGTTGTACAGCTAAACACCAGTTGACAGTAATACTACCTGTGGCGTGCGGTGGACCCCATAGCCTTTCGGCAGGGGTCCTGCTCATCTCTTTCTCGCAAGCTGCTGGTAATGTGACCTAAGATAGGTTGCATATCTGCATGAGTATCCTCTCGTGGCACAGTACCCAGCAAACCTTCATAGGCCGTGGTTCGGCTACGTATGCAGAGCCCGGGCCGTAAGCCGCCGCGGCGCTCCGGATCAGTGTCGCCGTCCTCGTTCATCTGCGACGGGTGCAGTCTCCGCCTCATGTACGGCATATATTGGTCTAGCTAACCTATACTACTCTAGCTGACGTGCAGTCAGCGTTCTCTTCCGAAGCGAACTATGCCTTCTGTTGACTTCGCCAGAGTGGAAGGCTGTCACAGGATCATCAATCTTCTGCCACGATCCACGCCTGGTCGGAAATTTCTGTACCTCAGCGCTCAGCTCTCACCACCATGAGCGGCTCTGGGACTCAGCCGGCCATCCACGGTGCCTACTCGAGAACCATGTCCTGTCCTTCAAGATCTAACATCACCGTCGCCACCGCCGGGCGTTTGATGCAAGTCTCGACCCAGATGCGCTTCTGATCGGACGACGTTTAGGACGATAGCTGCAGTGGTTCTGCATCGTGCCGGGGCACGCAGTCAAGCCTTATTCAATGCGCGCCTTCCTTGGCGCAGAATGCGTGGGACGGTATCTCTTATAGCCGTAAATATCTGCGACTCGTGGCCGAGACCTTTGGCTGATCCGTTTTCAGGTATGCATGATTCAGCGAGGGCTGCCTGCAACGATGCATGGCCGACCTCATTCACATTTGGGAATCCTTCGGCGGTGATCTCGAGATCTCAGACCTCAGGCTCGCAGCACACGATCCGAAACCAGCGGTTTTCTCCAGTCCTAGCTCGGCCACGTTTCGCTGTCCTCGGTCTGACAGATACTCGACTGCTTGGTAGAAAAGTACGGCAGGGATGCTTGCTGCGAAGCCCAACCTCCGTCTCTCTATCGCGCGCTTCCTGATCGATGGCCAACAAGCAACAGTCTCCAGGCGACACTGGTTCCGGTACGGGTGAAGTCCCAGGCGTGGGCGATACAGGCGCTGGAACGTCTTCAGTGGCGTCGCAGGGCGTAGCGAAGACCGTGCAGGACGCGGGCTCGACTTCAGCGCCGTCACAGGACTCAGATTCGTCCTCAGTAACGTCGCAGGATACGGTGAAACCGACAAAGGATGCCCCGCCACTGGCGAAGTCCTCGAACACCCCCGTCCCTCAAACCCCTGCTGCCGCGCCTTCTACTTCCCCGCGCTCAGGTGTTGCGACACCTACACCTCCAGGTGGTCCGGGTCCTGGCTTGTCCTCTCCGCCTTCACGCCCCGTCGCCGTTATAGATGATTTCCCGTCAAACCCACTATCCTCCGTGAGGTATGTTCGCCTGGCTTGCCACTATTCGCTCTGTATTGCACGATACTTACTAGCTTTATGACCTGCCAGCCTCTCCTTCAAGGGCATCCGAGTTAACTTCAACATCGAGTTCGCGCAAATCGCTCTGCGGATATTCGCTTGGCTCCGGCAGATATTCACGAAGAGTGCCGACGCACCCGGCGAGACACCAGAAGCACAGACGACAACGCATACGTCGCATATACCTCGGCGCGTCGGGTTTATGCTCGCGGGTCTGCTTCTTGCGACTGTCATCGTGAACTGGTCCTTCTCTGCTTCCACCTCTCCATGCCACTGGAAGGCACATACCGACGCTCTTTCCGACCTGCAGATGTCTCGTATCGGGGTGCTGCTGAATAGCACAGCTCTGAGCAACTCTCGAGTCACGGAGCTCGCCGCCGCTAGGATCGGCATATCCGAACTTCGTACCTACGTCCAGGATCGCCATGTCGAAGCCGCTGCCGCTGCTGCGCTCGATGGCACTCTCAAACAGTACGGCGACGACCTATTCCTTGCTCTATACAAGCTCCTGCGTGTCGATGCTAGTATAGCCGCTCTTGCCCACATGTCAGTTCCCTCGTTTCGTTCCAGTGCCCGAAGACTGAAAGCGTTGCCCAGAACCGTCGCGCACAACACTGCCACGTACGAATATCTCGACCTATCTGCGTACTCACCCTGGTGGTACTCGTTATTCTGCTGGGGAGCTTGTCAGGGCCCCAGTTTCGAATCATCCTACATGGGCATGCTGAACTTGGAGGACGTCATGCTTCGTGCACTTGAAGCAACATTATATGACGCGGCCGCTCTGAGGGACAGTGTTCAGCGCCTGTACGATGATTCGTCGCGGCTACATCATCACGCAACTGCGACGACTCTGATACGTTCGCCATCCGCATCCGACGTGCACCTTGACACCCTGGCTCAGCTTTGGGATACCGTCGTCCCCTATCGCACTCCCACTGCAATGAAGGCCAATCGGCGTCGTCTATTATCCGGAGCACGCCCAGCGTTGCGCAGAGCCATGGACCACGCGCTCGTGACGCAGGCAGACGTGCTCAACCTTATGGAGCAGCTGCGCCTGCTCAAGATGGGGTTGAAAGCCAGGAGCGCCGACACGTCATGGCTTTGGGGATGGATTTGGCCGTCACGACCGAACTCCGATAATGACCTATGCTCGCCTCGCAACGAGCAGGGCATCAGGGCTTTCAAGTCTCTGCTTCTTGCTGCGAACGAGCTGCGTTCAGCGCTAACTCGACAAACGTGACCTTCGGGATCAGCTTTCTAGTCAGTCTATACCCTCCACGGCTTTCAACCCCAGACTGACTCTCCTTTGCATATGTTTATGGTCCTCTATGTCTTCATGCTTCCCATGACCGCCACCCGTGTATTCCGTGACCTAATTTATCGAGATCCCTACATCGTGTACGATAAATGCTAGCTCCTTTAGCTTCACGTTCTCCATTTCTTGTATTGGTAGCCTGTTCGCGTGCATGAAAAGATGTCTGATCATGGTCAACGTTAGCATGTGGTGTCTATGTATCGGCTATAATTCGCGTCGGGAACCCGCCCAGCTATATTCCCACGAGGCGCCGCGTTCTCGGAGGTCCTCGGGCACAGGTTCACATTTTGCCAGCTTCAGCTTCTCATCGGTGGCCGATTCGCGATGGAGATGAGTCTTATAGAAGGGAGCAGTATGACGCCTGTAGTCTTCGATATTGGTCGAGAGATGCAGAGCGCAGAGTTGACGGATATGATCGCGGTACGTAGGTCCTCAGGCTCCGTTGAGGTCGCGGATATGGGTGGCATCAATACTGATCAACTCAATCAGGCCATTTTGCTCGCCTTACAGTGCAATCTATCGTTCTATGAGCTGAGAAAGAGCTTACTGGAGCCCACAAGAACTATCTCCGACCCTTCACTCTACCCAGACAACGTCATCAAACGTCTACGAGATGCCCACCCTCCGCCTCTTCGCAAGGTAGAATACAACGCAATCCCAGCTTGTCCACTTGGTCTTAGCTCTCTATTATCTTGGAGCCATTGCGCAGCGGCCTGGCTTCCTGGGGTATCAACCGTTCCACTCCCCTACGACGTCTACACCGTAGACATTATGGAGGTACGTCTTCTGTCATCGCCCCCGTTCCATCTGAATTCATAGATACTTCAGGGAGTGTTCTACGCTCTTCGTGCTACCGACGATCCTGTCTCAGCTCTCGAAACGCTTTCGAGCCGTAAGCCGGACATTTCCGTCACTCCTGGCCAACCGCTGGCTTGGAACCTTTGGAGGCTGTACCACCGCATCTTGCTTGGGATTGCCCCGCCGGGGATGTGCTTCGCCGCCACTCTTCCTGTTGAAGTGCTCAGTCTCATCTTCGGCTTTCTGAAGGATACCGACAAGGTCGCCTACGGACAACCGCGATGGGATATGGCCGCTCACATGCCAATATGGCTTGTATGCAAACATTGGAGGGATGTTCTTATCAATACACCGTCCGTGTGGCCGGGCATAGTCCAGGGCTATAGCGATGTATGGACTAGACGCGCGCTCAAGTTCTCGCAGGGTGCCGCTCTCGACATCGATATCGGACCGACTCAGTTCGAGAGAGCAACCGGCCTCTTCCGAGAGACGACATATCTTCTCTTTGAAGATACAGGCCGCGTCCGCTCCCTCAAACTATGGCCGCAGTCTTGGGTCCAAATGTCGCTCACTTCCTCGTGGCTGGAAACCGCCCATGTCCCACAACTTGTATCCTTGACGATCGCTCCAGCCGCTACAATGCTACATGGCTATGGAGTTTCAAGCAACATCTTCGGAGGAGTTCCTCCGATGTGTCTCAAATCCGTCGCGATTGCCGATTGCATCATAAACTGCGCTACTTTCCCGCCTTTTCGGTCCTCTCTTATCCATCTATCCCTCGTGCGCTGCAACGTTTGGCCCTCACTGGGCCATCTGTTGGATACACTCGCTGCTCTACCATTGCTAGAGCGTCTGGAGTGGAACATGGCACGAGCGTCTTTGATCAACCTTCCATCGACGATACGCCTAGATCGCGCTCGGTTTGAGTTCGCGGAGGCGCGTGCCAGCTCGGTGGCCCTTGAATTTCTCCAGTCTCTGAAGTTGCACTGTCCAACCGCATGTGCTTCTGCTATAATGCGCTCACTCTCTATACTCGCGCCCTGCGAAGTTCGTCTCATGGACGACTACTCGTTATCCGGAGAGGAGGGACACGATATGACCACGATTGGAGATGTCTTGCGAGATCTTGAGTCCTCCTTAGGTGTGCATGTATCACGACCGTGCACTCTGGTCGACGGCTACGAGTCGTACGAGTTACGCATCAACGGGAGTCCGCGTGGTCTCCATGAGCACAACGCCCTTACACTCGAGGTCGTGACAGAGGTTCACGCGCATGCACAGCCCGCGCTTGCTCTCGATCTCAATCGCAAGTCTGTCAACATTCCTCGGTGTACCATCACCCTTTCAGTCTTCGATGCTGTCGACTTTCTCACAGACGAAGATGAACAGGAGCGCCGGGAAATTGTACACCGCGGGGTCATGCAGCATGTCATACAAAGTGTCTTCGCCTGGCCATCGTTGAAGACTACGTGCACTCGCATGGTCGTCAATCATTCGCATTTTGCTGATGGGTCAATGTGGCTCGCAGCGTTGAGGCCTCTTCTTCGTCTATCGCAAATTTGCATAGAGAGCCGAGGCGATGCCGAGGCGTCGGCCGCGTCAGCCGCAGTTGATGGACTGGCATCTGTCCTGTCCGACCAGCCACCCTATCTGGCGTACCTCAACCAGCTCACACTGGGTCCGCACCTGCGCCTTCCCGTGGAACGGGGCCTCATACTCGCACACTCCCTGCAGAAGCGCTATCAAGGAGGGGGTACGCCAGTGAAGCTCGTTCTGGAAGATTGTATCTGCTGGTGATACGGCTGTCCGGCTTCGGACAAGGTTAGCGCAGGAAATGCAGTTAGTGGGTATCGGGAACGTAGCAAGCGTAGCGTCACGCTCGTTCGGGCCAGAGGTCATAAATTTTGAATCGAGCAGCGTGCATGTATCTCAAACCACACATAGCAACATGTATGCCCTACCGTGTACCTTGTAATATGATATCACGATATAGGTCTCGCTGGACCTTCCAAGTAAGGCTTTTTGCGCGCCTGAGCACACGCGAGAGCGGTAATAGACTGCAGCTGCATTCAGAGTCGACAAGTACGCCGGTTGGGACATGAATCTTCGGAGCTCGGTCACTTCGGGCACAGGATATTGATCCGTGTGGGCGTTCACATCCAACAGCCGTGAGCGGTTGACTCCAACGCTCACCTTCGTCAAGGATTCGGCGCGTTTTTCTCGCAAACTACAGCGATGTATCATTCTTCAGTCGACGGTTGGTCGACGGATGTGGGTTCGGCGAAGGCGGCCAGGAGCGGATTGAAAGAGCTTGTACGAGATAGGTCGCGCAGCTGTGGTTTGTATCATTGCTCCCTCACGACGCAACCACACTGCAGATACTCTTACGCTTTATCTGGCGTACAAGCGCGCTATGCGGTCCGATGGATTGACACGGCCAGTATTCAATACCGGGACGCTTCCGCTGCCCGTTAAGGATCGTCTGGTAGTATCTCGACGCAACGCCGATGGTGCCAGAAACGCTCCCCGTAGGCGTACCCTTCTACCGTGACTGGCACTTTGATTCTGGCACCCGTGCATTGAGTTTGGGACAATTATATGTACCCACATGGACCACCAAAGTCCCATTGTTCACCCACGTGAGGTGAGGCTCGGGTGCAAGCGGACACGCAAGAGCTTGCGCCAGCGTCGCTATCATGTCCGAGCAACATCCACATCCTACGCACCCTCTACATCTAGCCTCTTTGCAAGCACAGAGACATCTCGCAGCGGGGAACACTGCCACTGGTACTGTCAACCACCAGCGACCCTATGCATGCAGATATTGATCAACTAGTTAGCCAAAGACGAGCGTGACTCTCCGGTTCACAAGAAAGCGCGTAGAGACGCTCCGGGCGAGTCCACGAGTAAAGGTTTGGACCCCTCCGGACAAGATGTACGTCAACGGCTCGTCTTTTCGGCTGCATACCGCTAACTCATATGCTCAGAGTACCATCCCCACTAGCGCATTCGCTTTCACATCTCCAGCTCCCGCATCACAACCATCCATGCCTCCAGCACCACCATCGGCCGCAGTACCCCAACCCGATATCGTGACCCCATCGGAGACTATCCGACTCCCGAGTGGCAGGATCGTCAGCCTGGCAGACGTAGATAGAGTCTACGCCGAGCAAGAGCGACAGACTGAACAAAACAGTTCCAACGTGCGCTCCTCACTCCAGAATCCGATGATTGATCTGATTGATTGTGGTAGATACGGCAATGGCTTAGAGACATATCAGAGCATGGCGAATCGGCATCGCATCCTTCGGTAAGTGAAACGTCCTTCGCGCTGCATCGTGTCTCCATGTGACGATTATCAACTAGCGCGACCCTGCTCGTCCTCAGCCTCCTGAACCTCTCTCCCGACCTCAATCTGGTCGCATAGGCTCACATCCTCCGTCCGCGCATCTGTATTCCCGATCCCCGTCAGTACCTCAAGGTTCGAAGCCGCCATCAGTAAGCTACGGCCCACAACCTCCACTTGCTCCGCAAGGCTCCCAACAAGGCTCGTCGCGACAATCTTCACGGCAGCCTTCGCAACAGGTCTGTCAAGCCCAGATTCAACATGACATCGCATGCTCATCGTAATCTGGAATCGTGTAGAGCAACCCTCTACCGCGTCCTCCTCTAAATCGTCCGCCCTCCGACATACGATCCACCAGCGGCAGTAGAGGGACCTATAGCCGCGTTCAGCAAGCTGCGTCGCGAATCTCACGCTCCATGAGCAGTCAACCATCAACACCCCGCTCTTCTGTCCCCCCAATACCCGTGGCAGCACCCGGCGCAACCCCTCGTCCCCACCGTTCGCAGACAAATCAGCCGCCGCGCTCGGGAACGTCGCCGAGTCCGACACCTGCCGGAGCTGGCGGTCCTGCAGCGCAACCATTTGCGTTCGCGTCCCAGGGTCAGGCAGGCCAGGTAGGGTATTGCGTTTCAAACGATGAGCCCTACTGATAACACACTCTATGTTATATCGGAACAGGAGAGCGATGGCGAATTTGAAGTGGAGCACGAATTGTTTGGGAGTGATGACTCGGCGACCTCTTCGATCGGAGGCAGAGTTGGCGCAGGCATCCCGGATCCAACCCATTCGAACGCGAACGCTTCAAACGTCCGTCTTCATACATCTCTCAAGGTGTCGATAGGCCACTCATTGCTACGCTATAGCGCCAACCAACATCGTCGCCAGCACAAGACCCGGCAGACCAGCCTATGGGCAGCCCTACAGATCAGCCTATGGACGTGTCGGGGGAGGATCCTGTCAGTTCTGTGATCACGACACGCGATTATGATTCATCTCATCGATTCTGGCTTTAGGATGCGCCCGCTGGTGGCCCTACGGTGCAAGACGAGGATGCAGCTATGGAGCAAGATGAGCCCGACGGGCAAGGGCAGGTAAGAGCTGTCAGTCTAGATTATTCATTATATTTTCTCAGTTCACCTTTGCAGGGCAATCCGGCGCCGCCATCTCCGTCTGCTACAGCGCTACCTACACATCCTCAGCCGTCAAACGGTCCTCACTCCACCTCAGTCCCCGACGATCCAGCAACGATTCTACACAGCATAAACAACATAGCCGCAGATATGAAGAGCCATGTGACCGAAGGTTTCCAACATGCAGAGAAGCATAACGACGGCCGTCATGACGCTCTCGATCAACGCGTGGATCGCCTGGAAAAGCTGTTTCTCGGTGCAGCGGGGCGTGGCCGTTCAGGTCCGCGATCCGGCGCGGGCAAGGCCAAGCCCAGCGAGTCGGACTATACGGAAAACATCAAGAAGGTCTTCAACGTGAACGCCAAAGTCACAGGCCATCCGGTCACAATGGACGCCGCGCGTAAGGCTATACTGGTACGCTTATTTACTACAGCGCTACTCAATTCAATCTCAATCATCTGTAGCGCGCCGTCCGGCAGCATCTCAGCTCCATCTTTGACGCTCAGAATATGGACAAGTTCGGCGCCGCTCAAGACCCGGATGCCGTCCGTGAGATTCATGAGATGTTTGAGGCACTCTGCCGCGACGCGCACGGGAAGCGCGTTCAGTCGTTAGCCGATGTCGTGCAAAGCGGCCCGATACCCGCGAGACTGGTTGGTAGCCCGATCACTATCGATTACGGAGAGGCTGGGGCAGGTCCTAAAGGTTCAGGCTACAACCAGTTCATGGCTAAGGTGTTCGTGGCCGACTTCTTCAACAAGCCCGAGCATGCGAACTATGACGTCGAAGATATCCGGGAAGCGTTCTTCGATAGGATCAAGAATCTTAAGGCCGAGCGTGCCATTATGTTGGGGACGCAGAATGTTGCCGCAGAGCTTCGAGTACCGGTCCAAGTTGTCGAGAGGCAGTTGAAGGACATGCAGATGCATGAAAGTCGGAGACGCCGGGTCAGTTTCTCGATAGTTCCCCCCTTGCAGTATACCTCGCACTTACTACCTCGTCGCATGTTCACAGAACCATGTCCGTCGTGTCACGTCTGCAGAAGGGATACCAGATTGGGCCGACCCAGATCGTGCCATTGAGCTGATCGTCAAGCAAGTCGGGACAGACGGGGGCTCCGACGATGAGGATCGGTATGTGAGAGCCAACGGCGGCAGAACCATCAAGCAGCGCGTCATCAAGGTTCCCGCCTGGCGAGCCGCTTTTCTGCGTGCTTTGTTCTCTGATCTGGAAGACCTGTACTTCATGCTGTACAGCAGAGACGGTCTGATGTCTCAAAACGCGAAGGGACAACTACCCGAGCCACGCGAGTTCTACGACGGCGAGGAGCTCGACTGGGATGCCAGCCCTGTGCCCCTACTACCTCACAATGCATACAATTCCGATTGGCTGCAGATGAAGGGGTCGAGCTTCGTCGAGTTTGCGGTACGCCCGACGATGGGGGATCCCTTTGTCGTGCCTCCGCGCTTTCGAGAGTACGGCCGATCTTTTATTGAGAAGTTCTATTCACTGATGCTGCAAATAGATACTACTTGAAGGTCCAAAATGCTTGGCAGGAGCTTCATCCGGTTCAGCCTCGTCCAACGAGGCGGGCACCACACCCATCTCAGCCAGGTCCCTCGGCACCTGGCCCGTCGAAGTTCCAGTCCCGGCCCCATGCCACCTTCGCGCCTCAACACCCGACTGCTTCACATCCAGCCGCTCAGGCAACGTCGTCGGAAGTGCCAGCCAGTGCGGAAGCAAAAGGAAAGCGCAAATTAGACGAACGCGATGCCAACGCAGCCGTTGGGAATCAGTAAACCGCCTTCTCACCGGTTTCTCACCAGATATCATGTTCCCCAGTCATAGACACCTTGATTGCTGTTATTGTAACCTTGTATGCTCACACACTTGTACTATGAACCTGACCTTTACGAGCCATAAACAAAAGAAGTAGTACTCCTGGGCATTGCGTGCGAGCGTGAGAATTGCTTCCGTTCAACCGCACCCAGCGAAAGTCAATCAATTGCGACGACGTCGACGACGAGAACGACACTCGTAGCACAATTTTGACTCTTGCTTCTTGTCACACTCCTGTAGAGTCGCCCGGTCCTATAGCGCGCCCAGCCTGTGCCAACGATCTTCATGCCACTACCCGCTCCCTCTCGGCGGCCTTCGCCTCTCTTACTCGATACATCGTGTGCTCTTGAACAAGAGTACGCGTTGAGGTGTTACGCGACTTCAATAGCCGATTATACTCTCCAACTTTGGATGTCTTTGTATAGGGAGCAAGCGAGCGCTCGCCAGAGGAAATCGCTCAGGTCTCTTCCATCGCTCCTCCTCCCACACCAGGGACCACTCGCTGATTGAAGGATAACTTGTAGAGAAGAACATTGCTCCAAGAGTTGGATGGGAAATATCGAGTAGGATAGGACAGGGTGCTTAGAGGTAAGCAGCGTGCTTGACCGCCCGTTTCTTCGAACTGATTGCGCCCGATAGCAAGCCCGTCTATCACTATCCTCTGCCTCGACAAGCCCCAGTCCTTCACTCCACCTCTATATTTCCAGATATCGTTCAGTGCTTCTATTCGTCGGCTTGAGCAACCTCCCCGCGATGCGTGACGAGACACCAGCTTCTCTTGGCGTACATCTCATGAGGCAATGCTTGTACGTGCGTACTTCCATTCGGAGACGTCATATATCGCACGAATCTTCCAAGGGCGCTAGTAGTTACAAACTATACGATACCCAGCCCAATTCTCATTGCGATGCCTCATTACGATAGCTCCAGCGCCCTCCAGCTTGCACAAACTCCTCTATCGCGAAACTTCTGCATGGCGCCATGCGAGTCTCGGTGCGGCATATCGCGCAAGCAGGTCTGGGACGGCCGTATAGTGTAGAGAGACACGCTTTGCAGAAGCTGTGCCCACACTCCACCAACCTGCATAGTTTAAGTCACGGACATTATGGTATCTTGATTTCACGCACGTATAAGCAGAATGCATTGGCGTAAAACAGATCTTGCACTCTAACAAGTCTTCCAAGTGCTGGCCCTAGTGTTGAGATGTGATTGAGCATAAGTCTGAATGAAGGTGTGGACAACGTACCAACTCCCCAGCTTCGCGCCGAAGTCTCTGATTCTCATCCTGAAACGATTTACGCTCCTATAGGTCGATCAGATCACAGCATAACCACAGCGCCAAACCTGCTTACCTCGCAAAGCCTGTCCTTCTCCACATGCACCTTTTGAAGCGCCTTTTCGAATTCGTTACATTTCTGTCGCAAGCGTGCGATCTCGAGCTATACGACAGGCTTGAATCACATATAGATTCCAGGCTGATCGACTCACGATGGCCAGCACGTATTTGTCGCGTTGCTTACTTGAGAGGACACTTTGTTCAGGCGATGTGGCCGGTTCGAATGCTGGGGGACGGGCATCCGACGGCCGCGTTGTGGTCATCGGGTTGCGCGGCTCTTGCGAATGCCCGTGGCTACGTAGCGGCTGTCCTCGACGCTCGCCTTGACGCGGTGGATTCTCGTCGTCAGAGAGCTCAGAGAGATCGATGACTTCTGCGGGAGGCGCAGGCATGATGGTGTTAAGACGACTCTTCATAGCACAGGGTCTCTTATAAACAGTGGGCTTTCTTCAAAGTCATATCAGCCTTTGTTATCGATTGTGGCAGTAGTGAGTCCACAAAGACGAAAGACCCTCCGTTGACATGGCAAGGCTATTATCGACGAAAGACCGTACATTTGTTTGTGGGCTGTTCTCTACGGGGCGCAACGACACTCAAGAATACCACATACGCGGGATGCGAGGCCGAGGAGCTGCCATATTACAACGCCGAGTTACATGTTCGCATCAAACCGAGCGTGAGCCGTGCCATCCGACGTCGCGTGCTTCCTATGCAGTTCCTTATATTCCGAACGAAAGATCTGGTAAAGTTCGCCATCGGGCAGGGTGGTGAGAGCGTGATCTTTGTCGTAAACCAGACGACGTAGCTCTGTATACATGCTTGCATTTTGTTTAGCGCCTAGAGTGAGCTGAGCACGATTCCAAGCCCGGAGTGCATCTGTATCGTGATCTTGACCGACATCGAGTACGGTAGGTTCATTGTCCGGAGTAGGGAGGTTGTGGCACCAGTCGTGAGCGCCCATCATATCGCGCAGGGTGACGCGAATGACGCTTCTGGCCTGCAGCAGATAGCAGAGATTCAGATGGGACGTATTTGAGACTAGACTTCTCGGACTCACGCGGAGTAGCATTGGGTTGATACGGCTCGGAGAACTAGTGAGTTCGGAGGTGCACGTTTCGCCGCTCGAGGCCGAACTGCTACCCGGAGGTATGAGCAACTGCCGGGAATAAGTAGGATTGGTGGCTATACCATGCGCAAGAAGGTTCCGACCCTACGTTCATGCCAACTAGTTCTCAGTCGTGAGCGAGGTCTATAGCTGATGGTGGTTACAAATGGAGAAAGGAGAGCCCGTGTGTGAACTGGTCTATGTCACGCGCACGCAGGCCAGCCGGCGCACGCCCTCACGTCGTTGTGGACGGCCATGACGGCCCTTTCTCCTTCTTGATAACCTCTCGACTTCGCGCTTTGGTTCTCCTCGCGCTCATACACGATGGCATGCGCTTGGATGACCATATCGAATACGTCGACGGAGTTCATCCTGACCGTCGACTCCAACCACGATCAACCATCATCGGCACGACTATCGTTGCTCCGCACGATTCGAGAATCGCGATAGGTACTCATGCGGCTTCATACGCACTACTTCTCTTCTGACAAGTGCTTCATGCTTTTTTAGCTTTCTCCGGGAGGTTGTCCGGTCAAAGTGATGGAGTTGTGTCTCAGCATGTGCGTATCGGCGGTTTAATCCGCACGGAAATGCTCGCAGTGAATGCACTGGAAGGAACCCTTATCGTATCACAGACGTCCGAGAGATCGACGCAGGTTCCGAAAAGCTGCATAGGTGTGAGTATTCATTCGTTGTACGGTGTTAGTCACCCCTGACTCTATTACTCGTTGTAGTCGCCGCGGTCAACGGCTGAATCCCCAGGCGAGCAGGATGTTGCATGCCGCTACACCCGTCGTCATCCCAGTTCCCCAAGCCTAGATGGCGTAGCGTCGATTCTGAAGGTACGCATCCTATCGTTCCCTCTACGCGGTCTTTGACCGACGGGTGCCATGATTGCAGCCTGACGTTTGCGGCCTGCCATAGTCCCCGCGGCCTGGTTTTATACCCTCGCCATTGTTTATGCGGAGGAAATCATGATCTTGCTAGACGCTGGCCGCGTTTGCGGGAAGTGTCGACGCGGAAGCACTCATCTGGAGACTTAAGTTCTGCAAACAGTTGGACGCTTACCGCGGCAAGATGCCGGATGTGATCCCAGGTATCACGTTTCATGATCAATTGCTACCGGTGCGACCTTTTTCTAGGTCTCGAGGATCGGTGAGACTAATTGGGGATGCGCGTTCTAGGAGCTCACTCGCTCTATATATGCCTTTTCGACTGGGCCCAGTCCTGAGTGCGCAATTCTTGATGTATTCACTGGGAGCGAACGGTAAGCTCAACATGCAGTCTGGCTCTTGTTATTATCCTGACAAACTCGTGAACATATCTAGACGTATTCGCACATGACCACCTTCATCGATACTCAGACTCTCGTCGCGCTGACCTGGACAACGCAGACTACTCTCGATTCGTCCGATGACTGTACGCCGTGCTCCTGATATCTTCACCTTCCCGACGCTGATGTAAATATTACAGCTATCGGTAGCGCCATAGTCGGAATGAGGCTCACTATTGCGAAACGTGGGTGCGTTAACGTCTGTATGAGGCTGAAGTGTGCATGGTGTTGACGAGAGCTTCTGTCAGATCAGATCATTGGACTCCTTTTGCCAGTCGGCCGACTAGTATCCCCGAGAAGAGGAAAGGAAAGAAAGAACAACGAACGGTCGTGGCACCATGGTGCGTGGCTCACTGCTTTCCCCTGCTCGGTTTTCACTAACGACTTCGCAGGTTCCCATATCTTCGAACTCATTATCGTAAGCGCAAGCTGATAGCCGCATGTCTTACACCGTCGCGGTGAGATGATTGGCTCAACCTGTGGCCGGGCCTGCAGGATCGATGGGCCATATGAGTATGTTGGTCGTGTATGCTTATAAGTCGGACTGTTGTAGCTCCTTGGCCTAATATGTTTGCCTCCTCTTTCGGTTCATGTAGTCACCATTGTCTTGTACCTTCGGAGCCCTTCTCCACGACCCCACACTCATGTTAGATCGAGTGTCGATGACAGACCGAATCGCATTGACGCCCTCTAAATTATTCGACTTATATTGCTTCAATACCTTGCACAGGTGGTGCTCGAAGACTGCAACTGCTGCCGTTGTGCCCGCGTTTCGAGTGCTGTCGAACAGCGGAGCTGCGTACAAGAACAGGCAAGCTTGAATGTAAGACGGACATGGATGTCCGGAAATAGCGTAAGAGCGCGGACACCGCCGGGGCAGGCCCACCACGCCGCGGTTGGGCGTGGGAGAGCCGAGTCGCAAGTTGCCCTCCTGGCACGATCGCGCGCGTAGCCCTCTGAGCGTGCTCTCACAAGCCCTCCATCTTCGAGCCTGAGCTACTGGCCCTTACCCTTTTGCCTAGGCCGATGACGGTGCCTGGCATACTAGCAATCATGCCTGCGATTGTTATGCCTGCCGGTTCGGTGCACCTCCCTCTGCCTGTTCAGTCGGAGGGTTCGCGTGTTCACCCGGGAGCCCGCTTACGGACACATACCTTGATTCTGGTGGTGGGGACGGAAAGAATAATATGAGGGTGGGGCATCGTTGGGTACGTACTCACATCCTGCTAGTCTGTTTGACTTGAACTAATTGTGTTGCCTTAGTTCTTTTTAATCCTATCCCTACCAGCAACCCGCTTCATATCCAGAGGCTCGCCTCTCGCACTCGCGCCTCCACCCCTCACTCTTCTGTACACTGCCTTATCCCCGCTTCCCTCATGTATCAATTATGCGATAGACATAATATCTATTTTGCTGCCCGAACAGGGTGGCAAGCTTACCACTCGGAGTGACCATCGTGCCTTCTGCATCGGAACGCCAGGCGTACGATTACGATCCCGATCCTCATCTCCAGGAGCCCAGCAACTTCGTATCCGTCTTCTAAGTATCTGCCTCTCGTACCGGCCGATGACCTCTGCACGAATCCGGTCGCCCGGCTCCTCGTCGGCTCCTCGGACAGCTTTCCGTTTCGTCCATCTTTCGTCGGGATCCAAGGCCACAGTCTTTCGCAACGCGATTCCTAGGGCCCTCTGTCCATACATGGACAGTGGATCGTCGCGAGATTGCTGATGCTTTGTTCGGCCCATGCAGCTAACTCGAACTTCAGCAGTCGTCAACATCCGGCCCATTTTGAGCTGTCTGCGATACAAGCAGGCCTAACTGGCAGGTAAAGTAGTTGTCCACGAGTGTACTCGTGGACACTGCCAGATCGGCGCGGCCACGCTTAACGCGTGAGAAGGCCGCCGCCACACGGCACAAGTCCTGCGCGTGCGTGTTGGCGTATTCCTCGTGTCTCGACCACCACCCGTCTTCTGCTAACGTTCACAGATAATTTCTACTTACGCCTACCCTACCACTCCTCACGACTTCGTTGCCAGGCCTCGGCACCGCGCATCCGCGCCCCTCTACCGGCACTATAGCATTGAGTGCGTCGCGGTGTGCCTCCAAGGCCGACCGCTCGCGCGCTGTGCTCGCCACTGCCGCCTACAACGATACGAGGGACGAGGGATTACTCAAGAGTCCGATCTCATTGCCCCTTACCCTCACAACTACCCGTATAGCCGGGCTATCCGCACACAGATAGTCCAGTTATCCATGCACAGATGTCCGGACTACCCAGACACGGATGTCCAGATGTCCGGACTCCGGATGTCCGGACATGAGATTATTCTGGGTGCTTTCTCGCTTGGTTTCGTCATCTTCTCGTCGAGATTATGCTGTACAGCCTCGCCAAATTTACGGGATGGATGACGAAGCAGAGGCTATGAATGTTTTCGGCATTTCTCTGGTCGAATGCTAAGAAGTTGTGTGTGGAGCTATTTTGTGCATTTGCTACATACTCTCATAGGTACTTTGATGAAATGAACACTGCAAACTTACCAAATCCCATCAGCATCTTGTCAAGAGGGACTGTTGGATCCATACATAATTTATCTGATGGATTCTCTTGGTTTTCTCGGGAAGCCAACTCGGAATGTCTCCTACAGATTTGATCTCATATTATGAAGAGAACTTGTAGGGTACCTTCTGAGTCATCTTTGTTGTGCATTCATGAGGACTGTTTCGAAATATATGGCTACTCTTATGCTGGATGTGGGCTGGGAGCTATTTTGAGTTTTTTTGCGAATTGCACAGCGAAAGGGTTGAGTTATTATGTAGGATGTTAACCACATATCTCCTTCACTTCCCTGCGACTCGATAGTTTTTCCCTTCTAGTGTGACCTCTACCACCACCGCCGACCCTCCTCCACCCGCTCCCGCCGCCTCCACCCCTACTTCGAACACGCCTGTACCGGCACAATGGACCCGTGCCCCGGATAATCGAAGAAGCCGAACGCGTATTCAAAGCGTGTGAAGGACAAGGTGGCGCTCTGGAGATGGCGGGCGCGGCGGTGAAAAGCCGTATCTCGTGAGGAGATCCTCAAGAACAAGTACGTCCTTCTCCCCTTCCCCCTCCGCCTCGGATACGTGCTAACGATCGCCGCTCGCAGGCCCACCTAGTACGCCGCGCCCCCACCCTCGCAACCTCCTCCGGCTCGAACCATACCCGTGCGGCCCTCCTCGCGCTTGGCACGACTCATTAAGCGCGCACGGACCCGCCGCATACGCTCGATACGCTGAGGGGCGCGGACGTGTTGGCAGCGGGGCTGGGCGCTGTGTCCAAGCCTTCTCTCAATGCGCAGGATTCGAATGGGAGTGCGGACGTGAATGCGGCGGGCGGTGGATTGGGCAACGTCGTGCTCCGCCTATGGTGCGGCGAACGCAAGCTGGAGCTGTTCCCCCGTGCGGGACTGGGCAAGGCAGGGAGAGCGAAGAGGCAGGAGGAGAGAAGGGATATGTTTAATAGGGAGATCGAGGTGTTGCGGGCGCGCGTTCAGTGAGGATGGCGTTGTCGAGGATGGGAGATTGGACGACTGCGATGTCTGACGGCGCGTTCTTGGGCCTTGAGGGTCGTGCTCTGCTACAATGCTTTGCTCATGCATATCATACTCGTTCTCGTACATGCATACGGCTTCGGTCTTGTCTCGGCCCGCATATCATTCTCGCTTTCGGTTCCATATCATCGAAGTTCCCGTCATAGTTGCTCGAAGTTCGTTCATGCTTACATCTGGTCTTTCTTGCACGTTGTACTTCTAGTCGCACAATAGACTGTCAGATATCCCTCCCGTTACTACTTTTCTTGCTTCAGTGCTGTCTTAAATATGATTTGGGGGTATGGCCCGGGGATGCGTGTCGTGAAGGAAAGTAGGATGAGAGCCTGAGGGCGGAAAGAGCGTGAGCAGAACGTAGACTAGGTTGTTTTTAGTGGTTACGACTCAAGTGCCCGTCAAGGATGTATATATATATATACTGTATACCAGCTAGCATACCATGAAGCATGGACGGCGGAGTGCGCCACGTTCGCCACCTGGGGCAAGCCTCGGGGATTACTCCTGGACCCACGCCCGGACCGCGCCCAATTCATGGCGTTGAAGCTTCCCTACTGCATCGAGCTCCAGCACTCGCGACGACCCCCAAGGCCATCGTTCTCTCTTCTCGAAAACCTGACAGACTATGTACGTCTCGTATCAGAGTTGGCCCCGGTTAGCATGTATGTGCGCGCGGCAGCGGTGCGGCGCACTTCATTTCAAGTAACGACGCGGCGGCCGCCTCTGAGCGCTTGAGCGCGCACTCATCTTGCGCGGCTCAGAGCAGAGTACTGATGCCGTCCACCGGCAGCGTCACGATTCGAGTGTAGACTTATAGGTTGAGTATACACTGTCAATGGGCGTCAGATCCCACCAGGGATGCGGCACATTCATCGCGTGGACACTCACTCGGGCCGATCCCCGACCTTCCCTGACGCGAATCGCGCGGGAACCCAGCTCAGCATTGGACCACCATCTGAGGCTAATGGAGGCGTGTTTCATCTTCAATGTACCAATTGCGGCTTGGGTGTACTTATCCTGTGAAGCCTGACCATATCCGCGTATTAATTAAAGATGACAAGCTGCCCAAGCTGGCAGTGCTAATGTAAGGCAAGCGCTCATCTCGTTCTTCGGCGCGTCGAACTCGGTCACTTGTCGAAGATTCCTCACCGCATGTCTGCCGCGCGCCTGGGAGCACCGTCCCAGGACACAGCGCGACCTGCGTCGTCCTTGGAATCGCCTCTCTCCTTGTCTTCACACCACCATCTCGCATCCCTTCGATTTCCTCACTACTCCAACTTGCTCGAGAACTACGCGCGATGGCTTCTGGTCCAGATTCTACGGATAATGGGCCTTCGAACATCATAGATCATGAGCTGAAAGTAAATGAGCCAACGGATACATTCAGAACGCTCTGGGGCGAGGCCTTGCGCAAGTTCCAACAAAGCACAAATGTGAAGTCCGCACGGTGGTCGTCGATGGAGCAGCGAATGCTGGGCTGCAACAGCGTGGAAGACGTTTGCACGGTACTGGACGAAACCATCGAGAAGCTAGAACACTCTCGAAGTGGGACCAAGAGGTGGAGGGAGCTGAGAGAGAAGTACTTGAAGCCGATCGTTCAAGCGTTGCTCGTCTTCAATGACGCGATAGCGGAAACGGCGGCGTCCTTTGTGAGCTCCTGATGCATCTTTGATCCGCAAATGCTGACGATATGCCTCTAGCCCGTCGTACCTGGAGGGAAAGCGATCTTTGTAGCCTTGGGCATACTCCTTGCGGTGCGTGTTCTGGAACGACAAACACGTCCCACGCTTGCTCATGTGTCACAGGCCACCGATGGAGTTGAGCAGCGTCGCGTCGCGCTCATTGGGCTTTTCGAGGACTTGAAGTCCTTCAACGAGAGCTTGGTAATCAGACTCGCGAAGCCCGCTGAGCTCGGGCGGGCGTCCAAGATCACAGTCATCGCCATCATGGCGTGCATTCTCGACATATTGTTGATTGCGACAAAGCTCTTTTCTCCGTCTGTGTGGCGTACACGTATTTGTGCGTACTTGTCGGTCTCTGAGAACTACGTGACGCTGACGCTCGTACAGCTCTTTTTCATCAAGCGATCACGAAAGATCAGAGCATCCAGGACGCGCTGAAACGACTGCAGTCGCTCACAACCATGGACATGCGCGCCATCGCCACGGAGACGCAAGCCACCGTGGAAGGGATTCATGCCGCTATCGCCGCTATCAAAAAATCCCATTGGGTTGGCATGTCTGAGCTCGAAGCGATGAAAGAAGGTGAAGCATTGGTGCTGGTCACGGCGGTCAATGTCCGACTCTGACCATGATGCTTGGTACAGAACTTGATCGCTTCCTAGAGCGCGACGTATGTGGACTTGAACATACGTGTCTGTATGAGTACTGATGAGAAATAGCGCCAGCGGAGTACTACTGCCAATACGTCGAGTGCGTCCGTGTTATGATGACTATCAGTGTGCGATCCTAACGGTATTCATCAGGGCTACTTGGAATGCTCGATCGCGTGGCTTCTGCGGACATAGATGCCCAAAACTCGAATGGGTGTCTCAAGGGCACCCGTGTCGACCTCTTACGCGACCTCATGCTCTGGGCTCGCGACTCTCGCTCACCGCGCATCTTCTGGCTCAACGGCATGGCGGGTACCGGGAAGTCCGCCATAGCCCGGTCTTTTTCCCGCAATCTACGCTCGGAAGGTCTCCTCGGCGGCACCTTCTTTTGTTATCGCATGATCGCCGATCAGGCCGACGCTAAACGGATCATATCTACGTTGGCAGTTTCCCTGGCATTGCGCGACTCCCACTGCACCGAGGCATTGCTTGCTGAGCTCGGCATTGGATCGTCTGTTCGCGAATGGAATCTTGAGACACAAATCGAGCGTCTATTGTGCAAACCTTTTGCTGGCATTGAGCATGACGATGATCCTGTGCCGATAGTGGTCGTAGATGCCCTCGACGAATGCTCGGACGAGACGGTCACGCGCGATCTACTATCCAAGCTGATAGCGTGTGTCAACAGGCTGCCTGTCAAGTTCTTCTTGACGTCAAGGCCCGAGCCGCATATCCGAGAGAATCTCGAGAACATACACCCTGATTTTGGCGACGTCGTACGGCTGCATGATATAGAACACGTCATTGTAGGGAGCGATATCTCTCGCTTCATCTCGCATTCTCTCTATGATATGCGCAAGAAGTTACCTACTGCGTCTCTTCCCAATTGGCCACCACAAGCGGCCATTGAAACTCTCACTCGTCTATCTGGACGGCTCTTCATTTATGCATCCACAGTGTTGCTGTACATCCAGAGAAACCCGGTGGAGCGTCTTTCTAGGCTCACAGGGACTGTCGTAACTGCAGGTCATGTCATGACTCGATCTCTGGACGACATGTACAAGCTGATCCTCTCCGATGCGATGAACACAGACGAATATGAAGCAGATGAGATCGATTTGACATGCCGTATGATCAGTGTCATTGTAGGCCTCCGTGAGCCATTGACTGTTGTAGCCCTCGCGGGTCTTCTAGGCATATCAGCGGCACGCGTCAGAGGTGCATTAGATCGAGTATATGCTGTGATATATGTTCCTTTACATGATGAGAACGGGTTCTTGTCAACATTCCATGCATCCTTCGGAGATTTTCTTTTGACAGCCTCTCGCGTTCCGGACTACATGAAGCCGTACATGCAAACCAGTCAATTATACATTGCTAACACATGTCTAGACAAGTTGAAGTCTGACCAACTTTGCTTCAATCTCTCCCAAATTCCTACGTCCTACCTCCCAAACAGCTTGCAAGTCCTCCCACGTATCTCGGATGACTTGTGTTATGCATGCCGATACTGGTCGCATCACATCGAGAGTGCTTTTCTTGGAGACAACTGTACCAATCGACTTCTGTCTCAGCTTCGAGATGTATTTGTTGGTCCGAAATTTCTCTTCTGGTTGGAGGCACTCAGCGCGATGGGGCGGGTACAGGAAGCTAAGGATAGTTTGTCTGTGCTGCAGAATCTTCTGTTCACCCATACATCTCCTCAGCTTGCATCATTTGTGCGCGATGCAATAGACTTTGTACATGTATGCTATCACGCCATAGAGGCAAGTATCCCCCACATTTATCTGTCTGCCCTCGCCTTCTGTCCCGAGAGATCTGCTGTTCGTAGGCACTGTTCTCCTGCATTTTCTAGTCTGGCAAAATACCTTATGCAACTTCCTCCGGCCCTTGTATCTAGATACCACGACGATCATTTGTCTTTGTCTATTGCTCTTTCAAGCAATGCAGCATGGGTCGCATCCGGATGTCCTGATGGCAAAATCCACGTCCAGACCATGACTCTGTACAACGAGACTCCTGACTGTTACATTACCACACTGGAGACAGGGCATAACCCGGTCACTTCTTTGTCATTCTCGACAGATGATAGACTCCTTGCAGTGGGAACCATGAAGAATGAGATTTACCTTTGGCGCTCGCCAATTTATTCTCATAAACAAATGGTGGCTTCCTTCAAGCACACTGGATGCGTAAACCTATTGCAGTTCTCACCGGATTGTCGAGTTGTGGCTTCGAGCTCGTCCACGCTCACAACTCGCCTTTGGAAGGTACCAGATGGCGGGCAGATGCGTTCCGTCATCCGTCACGAAAATGCCGTGAACTCAATGGCATTCTCACCAAATGGTCAACTATTGGTTGCTCGTACGCACTCTGGCCTTGAGGATTGCTTCGAGACGTCTGGGATATCTTTGCATAGAGTGCAGGGCAACTCATCTATACTTTGGTTTACCACCTATGGTCCTTTATGTACAGATACAGCTCGTCCGGTGACATTCTCGCCCGATGGAGAGAAAATCATATCTGCGACGAATGATAATTGCGTCTGTGTTTGGGATATGACGGGCAACTTAGTTTCTCGACTGAATATGTTCTCCGACATGGTTACAACACTCGCTATATCGCCAGATTTCGCTCGGATAGCCTTCGTGACCAGCGATGGCGAAATGTGTATGCAGAATCTTAGTCGGCAGTCGCACCTGCCTGAGAGTATTTCCACTCGAACCAACATTACAAAACTCAATGATGATGTACAGTCATTGGCATTCTCGCTCGACGGTCGGAGATTGATCGTCCGCCAAACCAATTGGCCATCAATCCGCATCTGGGACGCGGGCCCCAGCACGGAGAACACAGGGAAACATCTGGCGCAAACCGCAGCGAACAGCTGCCTGCCAGAATCGCGTGAATACACCCATCTCGATTCAAGAGACGGTCCGAATGAGCCACCGTTCTCCGGTTTCAAGTCCGGATCATCACTTCATGACTTTACATTCGACAAGGACAGCGGCTGGATCCGAGATATGTCATGCCATCCTCCTCGCCTCTTGCTCTGGGTACCACCAGAGATGCGGAAACTTGAAATTTATCGCCCAGGGGAGCAGTACATTGTGGCCGAAAATGGTACCCTCCGTCTTGATCTCGACACCTTCGTCCACGGTACGGACTGGACGAAATGTTATCAACCTGATAATCGTGACCCGGACGACACTTAAGATCTACATACTCATGTAACCGATAAAGTAGCGATAGCGATTGAGCGTGTGCGATTCCTGACTTCGAGTGCAGCGTAACTGCGAGCGATGGAGGTGAAGTACTCATAACTGCACGATCGCGGCGCTTTCGAATGAGTTCAGAAGAGAAGACGCGATCTACGGGAGGAAGGGTAAGATTAGCACGCAGTGCAGGTCAAGATGTCAGAAAGTGGTTCGAACGGCGAACGTACTTGATTATCAGCCCGTCGGCGTTTGAACAGCGCTTGGACTCCTGCCCCCGCTGTTTGTCATCCATTCTGTTCCGTACGCGAACTACGCGTGCGTGAAGATGAGAAGAAGCGCTACCAAAGCATCAGTAGTGCAGATAGATGCAGATACAGCGTACACACACAGATACGCCAAACCCCTCTTAGGACTACGCCGAGATCGTCAAGTTACGCTGCACGGCGAGTTCGAAGGCCACGGGGCAGTGTTCTCGACCGATGAGGTCACACTGCCGCGTACCGCCAAGGCGAAGACGACGTAGTCGAAAGTACGTTGGCAACACGAGTGTATTGCACGGATGTAGAGTGGAGGTCCCGCGGAGATCTACGTGTATACGTGTCTCAGCAACGTATACGAAGGGAGAAGAACTAAAGGAGATGCGAGCGTACCTCAGCTATAACCATGCGGGAGCGCTATCAATGCTCTGCTAACCTGCACGACTCGTCAGACCGATGAAAGTAAGGAACAAAGCATGAGACATACCCCAGCAATCTTGCTCAACAAGTCAGCGCAAATGCGAATCATGGTATATCCTGCGTCCTCCACATCACTCGCACTTGCCCAGAGCGGAACTGCAAGCCCCATGATCAGCGCATACACTCGATGCTTAGAACGTATATGACGTACATTCGAGAGCCGGTCCTTCCTTCTCGTCAAGATTATCCAGCCCTGCCTGCGCAAAGGTCGCGCGCTTGGGCTTGCGACCTACGGGGTCGCGCTTCGCTCAGGCTGAGACGAGGTAGCCGAGGGCGAAGAGGACGCGTGGAGGAGTTGTGCGGACGCAGAGGGGTGGGCCTGTGGGTAGTTGAATCTATAAGCGCGTTATAAGCATCCTGCATACAGATAGATGTAATGAGAGAAGACAGACCTCGACCACCCCATCCGGAAACGCACTCATCGCGCCCTCGTCCAGCAACGCATGCAAATGGTTCAACCGAAACGCCGCGCCCGTCGCGTCGCCTATATGCGTGTGATACACCACCGAATAGATCAAGACATGTGCGGCGCACGTCGCCTCGAACGCGTCCTCGAACATCACGAACGTCTCCGGCTTGGCTTTGGATTTGCCCTTGTCGTTGGCTGTGGTGGTGGACGGGGCCGAGGAGCCGCTGGCGGCTGTGTTGCCCGTACTCGTTCGCCTCAACGCGCCCGGCTTTGGACTCTCCAGGTAGGTCAGCTCCAACGCTTCCTCGGCGTCCTTGACCGCGCTCTCGGCCTCCGTCCATAGTCCGCGCGTGACGACGATGCCCGCTCTCAACACGCAGCAGAGCAGGGCTACATGTGCTTGTCCCTCGCCGCTCTTGCCCGCCAGAGCTCTCATCTCGCGTATCGCGTCCAACGCCGCGCGGAGCTCGCTCAGCGCGGGGTCCTTATCCGCCGGCGGCGTCCGCGGTGGCGCGTCTTCCTCGACCGTGAGCGGCGCCGGCCTCGGCGCGGACAGATGCAGCTGCACCTTCGCCAACCTTGCAGCATAAACCAACGCCGGCGGGTCCTTCTCCCCAAACCCACTCATCAACCTCCCCAGCAACTTGAGCGCGAACTTTGCCTGCCCCCGCCCCGCGGCCATCTGCACCTGCAGCAACGTCGCCTGCGTCTTCATATTCCTCCCATATTCGTTCTTCGGCGCAAGTGCGAGGACTTTGGACAGCGCGCGGTCGATCTCGGCTGTCGTTGATTCTTCTTCGTCGCTTGAGGGCGCGAGGAGGGGCAGGGATTGGATGGATAGTTCGGCTAGTTGGAGCCAAGCGCGCGTTTGGGTTTCAGTTGAGAGGTTGGAGGGTGCGGAGAGGAGGTTGTGCACAGCCGCGCGCGATAAGGACAGGCCGGCGGGATGTTGAGCATGCGTGGGTGGACGCGTCAAGAGGCTCGGCAACGCGAGCGCGAGTTCTGCCGGTGGGAGAGGGTGCAGGTCCACGTCCATCTTTTGCCGTTTCGAGGTCGGCGCGGAGGTGGTGGCGTCCGAGTCTGGGTCGTGTGCCCGCTTCTTCATCGTCGAGCCAGTCGTTGTGGTTGGACGACAAGCGGGCGCGTTCGAAACCAACGGGCGTGAGATTGACGCGACGCGTACCACGTGATCATGTCGAGTCTAGAACGCGCGCGTTAGGCCCGCGCGCTTGCTTTTTGGCGCCCATCGCGCGATTACGCGATTAAGCGTGATAGCTGGATTGTGCTAAGTATGTTATGCTCTCGTTCATCATGCTTGAAGAGCTCGGCGCAGTACTAGCAGGTAAATGCACCTCGAATCGTCAATCGGAGATGAGTAGGACAATGCTACTGATCGGCCTTGCCAAAAAGTGCACTAGCATGCTAGGACCCGGGGTGTATCGCGGTGTCGCGGAGTCGTGGTAGTGTCAGATGAGGTGCTATGTACACGCGGACTCGGTCTATACTACTAATGCCACGTGGGCAACCTTCCCAACAGTTGGCGACTTAGGTTACTGTAAGTATGCCGCCGAGTCGCATTTGATCCCCAGCGCAGCCCCACGGGCAATTGGAGGGCATGGGCAATTCAAGGGCAACCTCTACGCACGAACACGCGCTTTATAGTAGACGAATTAGAACGGGGGTTGCAAAACAACCTACGCAAGCCGTACGTGAGCAGAAGCCGAGCGCAAGAAACCAGGAAGCCTACCTTGTCCAGCTGCCGCTCGATCTCTTCTTGGAGAAGTCGAGCTGTCCTAGTGAACAGATCGTCGTGATCCACTATCGCACAACACCGAGGGCAGCCGCGCGCCTCCTTCCTCGCCGTATGAACCGCCTTAAGAACCGCGTGAACGATTGTGCGCTCTCTGATATACCGGAGGACATTGAACACAAAGTTTGTCCACCACTGACAGATCAGGTGCCCTGCGAACGTATTGAATTCCTCGCTCCCCGGATCAATACTCAACCGCAAGTCATACACCGATTTTTCGCATGTGCACTTGTCAAAGTCAATGCCATCCGCGACCGGGATACCGTTGACGACATCGAGCTGTAGCTCACGACACCCAGTGGCATGGTGTTTGGCGATCCAGGTGGGATGCGGATAGATCTCTTGATCGAGGCGTAGTGTCGCGTCGTAGAAAGAAGTGCGGTATCGTCCCAGCAAAACAAGCGCCCTCGCGGGCAGCTCATCAAACTCGGGGACCTCGCGCCCATCATCGATGAACAATCGGTGATGGACGCTCGCGCGCGCGGCTGCGCGCAGGGCTCCCGGGAACTCAAACCTCCATGCGAGTGCGTAGGCCGTCTCTGATTCCGACTTGGACAGGCGTATGATGGCGCTCTCGACGGCCTCGAGCAATGCTTGGCAGTCGAACTTGCGAGCGATAACCGCGGCACGCTTGATATCGGCCACTTTTTCGAGCTCGGGGTCCGCACAGAACGTGTGAGGGTAGCTGAAACGTAGCAGAGTACGTATCGAGGCCGAGTCTTCAGACATGTCTATGACTGGACGCTGATCGCCGGCACTGTCCGACGTCTGAGGCAGCGAGAGCATGTCTGCGAAGAAAGGCGAGATCCAACGGAGGATGAAGCTATGGACGGCAAATATCACGCCGTCCGATGAGCGTAGGGAGATATCGGCGTCGGTTGAGTTGAACTGCTCATCAAGCGTACCCGCTGAGGGTGACGAAGCGGACATGATTGTGTAAGTCAACCAGAATTCCCGTCAGCGATCGTGTCAACGAGGCACCCACGCGGATCGAAGACGCGTGACGTCACGCGTTCCCCAGCTTCACTCCGGCCGTCCTTACCATGAGACGTAGCACTGGAACTCTGGTTTCTATATGTAGAAGCACTTGTCGTGCGCGGCTTGGATCAAAATCTTATATCCGTGCTCGCGCAAAAGGCCGTAGCGGAAGCACCACCCCGGTCCGCCCGTCCCAGTGCAGTCCCTCTCGCGTCTCGTACTCGACGTTCCGACCTCTTGTCAAGTGCACTCGCTCGCAGGCCCCTCCCTCAATAGCCACATAGCAAAGTTGAGCGAGCACGTCGAGCTCAGCGAATGTGAGCACCCCGAATGGCTGTCGGGTCGTAGGCATGCCCTGAATGCGCGTTTACAGGCTGGGGTAAAGCTCGAGGAGGTCGTCAATCACAGGCCTATCTTGCCGTTCAGAAGCCGCTAAAGGTCTGCATCCTGAGACTGGGACGTGTATAGGGGAGATAAGCGCGGAGCCGGAAGCCCTGCGTGGGTGCGTAGGGATGCTCGTAGATGGCCGAGCTTGAAGCAGATAACATGTATACTGTAAGCGAAACGGCTTAGTAGCCCGCAGGAATAGTATAACCCTGATGTGTACATGCATTCGATGCTGTTTGAACTACGGTCGTGACGGTCTTCCGTCAAAGATATATCTGCACACTCGATTGAACGTATTCTGCACGTGGCACTTTCCCCCGGTCCATTCTAGGGTTCATTCAGCTCGTTCGCTTTCGACCTCCATCACCAACTCCGATACAAGATTGCACACTCCACAGGATCTGCAGGCGGCTTTTGAGAGTGTGCCCGTCCACACGCGCTACCTTCGCGTACCGTGTGATCGGGTACTACGCAGACATCCTCGCCAAAATTGGCACTTCGTGCGATAACTTCGGCGCGTTCACAATCCCGAGCGGGGAAACCGACACATCGTACATCCCAAACCTCTCATACCGGTACGTCTACGAGCGATATTTCTACGCTGTCCGACACGAGGCGTAGCTGACCGTCCAGCAGGCCCTGAAAAGGATCGGCGTAGAACGCCATGTTGTTCAAGGATGGCTTCGGACTCTGCACGTCCCATACTCGCACAAGCACGAAGACGTCGGAAGGAAGAGTAGTCGAGTGGTCGCCATCGCGGTTCCTCATGTGCAATTCCTTCGCCTGGGATGAGCGCCAGGTCAGCAAGTTTCTCTCTGATCTTGGGAGAGCACCACGCTGACGACTCACGATCTCGAATTGTCTGTTAGATAGATGGAAGGGCACATGCGGGCCCTCCGACGTCGACTTGACCTCGAGATGGAACCTGGGCCACTTCTCAGACTTTGTATACGCCTCCAGCCGGTCCGGACGAGCTTTGTATAGGTATGCGCCGAAGCGTGCACACATCTCTGGATCCGAGATGGTGAAATCGCCCCATGTGGAAGCAGTCGGCGAGTACTCCGGGAAGCCTTCGCTGCACTTCCCACGCAGCTCACTCGTCCAACATTCCAAGGCGGCAGAGCGTCCAAGTAGCCTTGATAGCAATTCGAAGACCTGAGAGAGATGGTTAGAGTCCTACACGCCGTAGCAAACGCAGAAGTAGGTAACTCCCACGCACGATTCTCTCGCCCAATATGCCATTGACTTGCTGATATAGAGTTGGAGACGATCGTTGTTGGAAGATGAGGGTGGACGATGGGGATTCAATGGACAGATTCGCCATCTGTGAACGCATGCCGTCGAGCTCTTCAGCGGGCGACGGCGTCCGGCCGCCGATCAACGCGCGGGTGGGATGGTCGGCCGACGATGTATGAGAGACCTCACTAGGAGACGAAGAGACTATAGCGCTCTGTATTGTATGTGATTGGCACACGCGCGCAGCAAGCTTGTCTGCAGCGATCGAGGTAAAGTCGATTCTCGATAGCGTGTTCTTGACGCGATTGGCGAGTGTATCTTCTTCAGTCTCGTTTTGCGTGGTCGCTGACACCACATCCGCACTTCCAGGTGTGCGTGGAGCGCGAGCGATGCCAGACAGGTGCTTCTGTGAGGTGCGGGCTGCGGCGTGGCCGGCGTCAACGGTTCGTTTATACGCGTAGGCGGTGCGCTCAGAGGAGCCCTGCAGGTCCTCCAACGTTGGCAAGATGTCATCCTCGCATTCGAGAAGCCTCTCAAGAATTTCAACAGGAGTCACCATGACCCTCGTTATCTCGCGTTTTGGAATCGAGAGCCTGCGCGCGATCTCCGCATGCAGCCGATCTTCGAGGAGCGAGCGCTCGATGCCAGATGCGCCGGGCTTGCCGTCACCGTCGAGGACCATATACACCTTCAAAGAAAGACCGCTAGACTGCAGCGCGGTATCGTCTATCCAGACGCTTTCGTTCGTCCGCACTTCGATGTTCTCCAAAGTAAGTGTCGCGTCAATGCGAGTTACGCGCCGCACTTCCACTGCCTTCAGACTGGATAAGAATGTGGTCTGCTCCGGTGATAGCTTGCGTGATCCGTATTGTCCATCATGCGTGACCGCCCGTATGACCTCCCTATGAAGATGAATACTGTGGTAAGTACTCAGCCGAAGCAATAGTCAAAAGAGCATCACCTTTCGATGTAGGGATACTTCTGCTCTATCCCCGCCATCCAGTAGGGGTCGAGAACCCCAGGGTCTGAGACCGCGCACCGAGAGACAACGACTTCGTCGAGTTTGCGCACGAGGCCGGAACAGGCCGGAGAGTTCCAAAAGCGAAGCATAGCTTTGGTCCGTATTGAGCCTGACACGACCAGTAGCGGAACGGACGCGCGGAAAGCGTCGGTGAAGTGCGAGTAGCGGCCGGGAACGTAGACCTGATTGAGGCGGTACAGGCGGACGGTGCTCTCCCCGCCCATGCTCACTTCGGCGGGGAA